ATTTGGGTGAATATTTAGGGGATAAAAATACAGAAAATAGAACAGTGGATAGAGATTTAAACATTTTAATGATGAATAATCTAATAATTTGTCATATAAATCAAAGTCCACATTGTAATGTTCCACATTTTGAACTTGTGCAAGAGACTCAGTGGGGTCTCGGTTGGATTTGGGAACTAAAATGTACAAAGTGTAAGTTTATATCAGAAAAATATAAACTGTTTAGAGAAATTGAAAGTGGGCGTCCTGGCCGCAAGCGTGCCAGCATAAACTATGGGTTTCAGACTGGTGTAATAAACTCTAACATAGGTAATGACAGCGCACGAGTACTTTTGACCAGTTCGTGTATTCCTCCTATGGCAAGAACAACAATGCAAAGAATAACCAATAATGTATGTGACAAGGTTGTTAAACTTGCTGATGAGGAAACTAAAAAAGTTGTTGAGAATTTTAAAAGGAGAAATGAAACCTTAGGGTTAAATAAAAATAGTCCTATAAAATTACAAATGGATGGGACTTACCAGAGTATTTATATCAAAAGTAGACATAAAATGGGTCAAAATGCCTCGCAGGCAATTGGTATTGCCTGTGAAAATGAAACCGACAGTCATGATGTAATAGGTTTTCACTTAGTAAACAAACTATGCTGGGTCGGTGCATGGTTACGCGGTAAAGGTTATGATGTTGAATGTCCTAACCATGAGCATTGTACAGCAAATACTAATAGGTATGATCCTTTGAGTGAAAAGGATCTGGGGTATGAAATAGGTAAAAAAATTGCCACAAATGATTTACTTGTAGATTATTGCACTACTGATGGTGATGCAAAAAGTGTGAAAGGTTTACAAGAGGCAATGCAAGAAATATTTGGTCCTTTATGGTCAGTAAACAGACTTGCCGATACAATTCATAGGGGTCAAAGTCAGTTCCGTGAAGGAATCCGAGCAAAATTTAGTGTCGGCATGTTCCCTGGAGTAACAAAAGCCAAGAAAAATGATATAAAAACAGCTTTTGCCAATGATATAAAATTAAGGTCACATGGTATAATGAAATCATTATTTATGAAGTATAATGGTGACCGACAAAAAATTTCAAAATGCTTGCCTGGTATTGTTCGGTCTGTGGTGAATTGCTACAGCGGTAATTGCGGTGATACATGTAGATGGAGCATAACACTTTGTAATGGTGGTAAAACAACAAGCTGGTGGTATAAATCTATAAACCTTAATAGTCATGGCTTGCAAAATGGGTCTCTGATACCAACTGACAGAGACAAAATATTGATAGAATCCTTGCTAGAAATGAAACTCTCTCAGAATGCGTTAGATCAAATGAAATTTTTCAGTAATACTAACAAGTGTGAGTCTGTAAATAGAACTATTTCCACATAACTACCCAAAAATAAGAATTTCTCCCGCAATGCCATAGGTCGGGCATCTGCAGCAGTCTTGAAAGTAAATAATAATAGAGATGTTGCCTTGGTTAAAACTCTGAAAGCTGTTGGCTGCACAATGGGTAAAAAGTCTCGTGCTGCAGTAGCTCTGAAAAAAATACGTAAACTTGAAATATATGATTGTGCATATCAAAAAAGTTCAAAAGTAAAATATCGAAGGTTACAGGCTCGTTAAAGGCAGGCTATTAATTTTCTGCTTAATAAAAGTAAGCGAAAATACGGGTACAAAAAACATCAGTTAGAACCAAAGCTTAGTCAGATAACTAGCTGCAAAGAGTTTGTTCCACAGCCTGGTTGTAGTTTTTGGCTAGATTAACAAGGTCACAATTTCCATTTTTCTTTCAGCAATATTTCAAGAAATATTACAACATGTATCAATTTATTTATTTATTTATTTTCAATGATTACAGGGATTAATAAATGTTATTTAAATTATTGTGATGATAAATCAAAATCTTTTTCAGTAATATGCATGTGCATGTTGTTTTGAGTTATTTGTATTTTTATAATAAAGAGTTTGTTTCATTTGAACTGTTTTGAAAATGGGATAACGGTCCAAGACATTGAAACATACCACACACAGCATCATACATGCAAATTAACACACATGTATTGCATAAAAATTTATTTTTCCTATCATGCACACATTCATTGATACAACATACAAGGAAATAAAATAAAATAAAATCATGTCCATATTTACTTCCATTTGCAACTATTTCAGTTCTGTTAGCTTTTTATTTTACTTTTGATATCCTTATTTTATAATTTTGTAGTTTTTGTTTTGATTTGTTTGGTTTTTATATTGAAGATTTCTTTTAAAGCATGCTTACTTTAGTTGGTTCATGTGGTTTGAATGTCCCAATTTCCTGACACAGTTAAAAATACATTTGTAAACAACAAGAGTTACTCCCCCTCCTATGTCAATAAAAGGTAAACACTCGTGAAACAAGCCGTAAAATGTGTTACCTCAGGTTAATATAAACATGCATGTTTGTTTCAGTGTCTTGGAGGGTGAGAGGGAGGGCTTTTATCCCATTTTCATTTTTTTAGCAGTGTAAGAAACTTGTATTTGAGTAAATGATTCATGCAAAGTGAAGTGTGCAATATGTCACCTCGGAGACTTAAATTTTAGAATTAAAAATAGAACAAACCACAGTTTAAGATGCAACATGCAGTTAGGATATGCTGTGCCATGTAGTTCATGAGTGGTGCATTTTTGTGAAGTTACACAGACCTTACGGTGGTTATTTAAATCATGGGGCTCAAAAATTATATGGTCAGCATTAACACACAAGGCATTATGGCAGAGGTGCGAGGCATCTAAATTTCTATCAATGTCAATTGTTTTTAACTGTAACATTTTTGCCAAGCGTGCAACATTCATTTTTGTCCTTTTTCCATTTGGATAAGCCACATTTAGCATCCCTAAAATATAATTTCTTTTCCTCTGAATGGCCCCTGTCCAGATTTTACATGACCCATTTTCTGCATCAATGCTATTTAACAACAAAAAATTAGTATATTTTTGATAAAAATCAAAAGTTTGGGAAGCCATTTTGTATTGTTTTGATTAATTAGCACTAAAAGAGTGTAACTGACCTTGATTTCAGCAGCTACCATCCTAAATTGTGGTCACTGAGCCATGAAACACTCCATCACCTTTGAAATTCAAGGCCACAATTTGGGGCAATATGCGTAATAGATTCTCCATAGGCGGTAATGTTAACGTTTTCTTCTGTTGCTCAGGCCATATCGTAAACTTGGATATGTATGATGGCTCATTTTGAAGCTGAGACACTTGCACATGTGTGGTGCGATTTTCGGGGTGGCAAGTGTGATTCGGTTTCCCGTCAAGTGCCCAACCCCGAAAGATAGTGAAAAATGTCACTCTCCTCAGGAAATAATCCCTAAATTCTGACCATAAAAATCATCAAAAAATATGTCCTTTGTAATTGTTTGTTCAGGTTTATTTTTTTATACTTTTTTTCACATCACATCAGCTCTATAAAACACCAGTCCTAGTTCATTTATGTCAATTTTTAAAATCACAGCTTCCACAATTGTATGGCGGACTAATTTTTTAATGAGAGTCATAAATCTGTGTTCCTCATCTCAAGGTCCATTAGGGATATTGACCCAACTCATTTTTGGAAATGAAATATTAAGAAACATTTACAACAGTAACTATTATGAATAGCTGATTGCAAACATCAAGATGATATTTCCATACAAAGATGGCACAACTCTAAATTATGGCTTGATTAATATCGGAAAGAACCTCTTGAAGCAACACTAGCAGAAATCCTGTTTTCAAGCAAATACAGAATCGCTAACCACTACCACAAGAAATTAACAGGAACACAGAAAACAGAAATCGGCGCCATGTTCAAAGAAACCCTACAGAAAAAAGATACGATAGGTCTGAATCCACGTCCACAAAAACCTTGCAATGACAGGTATGATTTTTCAATTGGCAAATGTTCAAAGAATAAAAAAAGCAATCCCAAACTATTTTGCCACCCATATTACTTTTTTTAGGCCAACAATCAAGGTACATGCAACAGAGATAGCTGTAATAGAAAGGGGATTTAAATTACAGTAATCCGCTTGAAAGATAAATATTTATCAAACATAGATCTTAGTCAATGTGAAGTATCAATTCTATATAAAATCTTTTAAAACTATAAGAAAATTATCTGTAAAAACTCCTTACTGTAAACCCGGTACATACATTTTTTTTTAAAATCGACATATTCTTGCCAGAAATTTTTTCCTTTAAATGATTTAAAATAATCATATGGTCAGCGACTCCGTTATTTGGGTATACATAATTAAGCCAAACTGGTGGTACAGGTGATAAAATACCGAACACGTCGTCATGTTATAAAGATATATATTTTTACTACCAACACGGCAACATATTGTTTCTTTTTGTATATTGCATATAAGTTTAGAAAACTGTATCTACCGATGCCTCCATAAGTGCTCGAGATTTAAAGCATTAAAAATCAGAATGTATCTAAACAATTTAAGACCATAAACCAAAAAGTGCACTTAAATAGACGCTCAACAATACTTGAGAATTGGAGATATAATCCTTGACTTAAACAAAAATATATCCTTTTGTATACGGTGTTATGAAACTGGCAAGTACGTACTAGTTCATTTCCATCGTTAAAAAACAAAAACAAAACTTGTAAGAATCTTATAAAATTACATGGGGTTAGGTGACAGGCTATTGGAACTTGCGGAGTGCATACCAAGCTATGTCTACGTTTGTGAAACATTGCGGTGTAGAAATGTTGTCAAGTTGCAATTTAACAAACAAGTCTAGTCATGAGGGGTGTCCTAAACTGTCAGCCTTTCATCAATTCTATTCAAATATATATATATAAAAAAATCTAATAAGTGATTATTGCTAAAATCTAAAGAAGGCTTGCATATATACATTCAAGCATAATGTTAAATTTTAGAAAGATCCAATATACGTTCTTTAAACTAGCGAATTTAAACAAACAAGGCCCAATACTTAAAACAAGACATCTTTAGATTGTAAAAATCAAGAAGAGCTTTAATTTGTAGTTGAAAACATTGCAAACAAAGTCGGTAAAGCTTTGTAGAAGCCAATTGGAGTTGTTGTTAGGTGTGGTTTGATGTCTTGATAGTTCATTGTTTCTGATATTTACGTCTGATCATCATCATCGATTCCTTTAGCCCAATATATTGATTTTTCCAATGATACCATGTCATAAAGGTAGTTTGTTGTCGATGTCGGTAACTGCTCCATGAAGAAAATTGACCGTTGAGATTTGAGTAGGCACATGATTCTTGGTACCACCATGCACCCTGACAATTCGTTGCGTAACCAGTATTTAAATCCTTTGTTTGGAATGTGTAGCCATTGTGATGAATTAAACTATCACCTACACACAAAAAAAAAGCATTCAGAAAAAACTTGTATCGACTATATGCTGTACTGTATCGAAAGGTTTAAGAGTCATATCTGTATGCAAGATAAAATAATAGTAAAAATCATCTTTTTGTTTTAAATTAATTATTTTTGATAAATGAATGATGATTTATAATTGAAATTTAAGAAACGAAATGATAGTTGTGACGTCACTTTGATTTCATAAACAGATGAAAAAAAATTGACATATTTGTCATAAATGCCAATTTCATAGCTTTTGGTTAAAAAGTTAGGAGTCATAGCCTTACCCGAAATTGTTTTACCCGCATTATTATCCTTCTTTAAGACATTTTGCAGTCAACTATCTCTGTCGGCGAGACTGTGGCTCATAAATAGATATCAATGAGAAGACCTGGGCTATGTTTTTTACGGGTTTTGTTTTCCGTTTTGCATTAAAAAATAGACTGTTGGAGCTTTAAAGCAAAAATGTAAGACAAAAAAAAAAATACAAATATCTGAAAAACTTGTGCTTTGTGAGCGTTATGATGCTTTTTCCTTTTTAAAATGAAGGGACCAAAAGTGTTTCCTCCTTATCCAACATATTTACCCAAGGCGTTATACAGAGATTATCATGTTGTAAAATAACTTTGTAAAATATCTTAATCATCAATGATATTATTACCAGCTGTTCCGGAATATCCACTGACTGTAAGAACGTATTTGCTGCTTTCGTCTCCGACTATAAATGTGGAATACTCTGCGTAAGCATTTTGTCCATCCCAATCTTCCAACTCAACGCGTAACTCATGAGCTCCATCAGAGGATACATAGTGAATATTGTCATTACCTTATAAAAGCAAATAATAGTTATGATACAAGTATAACTTCAAAAGGTCAAGGCATATTAATAACCATAGAAATGGCAAGCATAGAAAATGACATTAAATGATATTTCTATTGTACACAAAGTACAACTATATACACATAATGTTATTCAATATTCTTTCATAGTTCGAGTCTCATCAACGTTAGAAAATGTAATCAAACAAAGATTTGTTCATGAAATGAATGACATAATTACTTTTCTATGTAATGTCGATATATATTACTATATCAATAAAAGAACAGAGTTCAGATATTGCACACATTTAATCTGTCCAAGGGCAATAACTAAAAAAAAATGTTTTTTTGAATTTATTTACTTTTTAAAATTATCTTAAAGAGTTGAAGACTTGAGAGCAATTTCTATTATTTTTAATATTTCTAAGGGGCATAACTCATTAAAAATATTCGATCGGCACTTATTTTCGAAATTGTCCGGGACACTGCTGTTATAAACCTTTGATATGAATTTCAAACAAAATCTGGCAAATTGTACATGTGCGAGCGCTTACAATGCAAATTTCCACATAACTTATATTTCTAAGGGCATAACTCTTTTGAAAATAATTGATCAGCACTGATTTTCGAACAACTTGTCTGAGACATTGCTGATATTAACCTATTATATAAGTTTCATAAAAATCTGGCAAGAATTGTACACATGAGAGCTCTAACAATGCAAGTTTCCATATAATTAATATTTCTAAGGGGCATAACTCTTTTAAAAATAGTTGATCGACACTGATTTTCGAACTCGTTCGACATTGCTGATATAAATCTATGATATAAGTTTCATTAAAGTCTGGCAAGAATTGTACATTTGAGAGCGCTAACAAGACCGGACGGACGGACGCCCGGGTTTTTCTATGTCCCATTAAAATTGGTTTGCAGTAGCCTATTCACAATATTTGCGAAAAGCGGAATATTTATATAAATTTTATATTTGCTGATTTTCAAAGAATGGGTTCAGCTTATTGATGACCGTAAAAGATAAGGAGCCGCTTAACTGTTTACAGAATTTGCAAACATCTTTGAAAGTAATCCGGATATGCCATCCTGTAGCTCATTGATATATTTGAAGATTTGACATAGTTTATTTACTCCTCTTCACTTTTGTTAGGGAATTCGGGTACGGCGGTTCCCTAACTTCATCTATTTAACAAATCTTTTCCAGACATCTGTGAGATTAAAATCGCATAACAACCGTCGTAGTTGTGCATTAAAATGCACATAAAAAATAAGTAAAGTGACATAACAAATAAGTAAAAAAATATACAGGCGACATTATTTTACCAATGTTCATATCTCGTAAAGATTAAGAAGAGAAAATCAAGGTAACAAATAGAAACAAGGAATCTCATGATTTCCAAAAGGAGCGACACCAGGTACGTCCACTGCTATGCATGTATAACCCGCCATGCAAATTCCCACCCAGTAATAATAAGACACAACCAGTAAAATCGGATGCCACACGTAGAGCAGTATCTCCTTACCAAAGCACATGAAATCATCCCCTTTCTATGGCGGGATTTGTGATGCTCGGTCTGTAGTTTTCTATGTTGTGTTTTATATATTGTTGTTTGTCTTCTTGTCATTTTGCGACTTAAACCATCGCGTTGTTTGTATTGCATCAATTTATGAGTTTGAATATTCCTTTTGGTATCATCCGCCTCTCTGGAATGTCATTAAATCTGGTTCACTTTTGTATTCGTGAAATCTTTGCAGTGATTGTTTTAGTAGGTGAAAAATAAAAATTTGATTTTGAATACTAGCCGTTTTTTATGAATAGCCAGAATATATACCATTATATCTTGTCTTTTGAAAGAGCAGAACAAATGTCGGAATAAGATTTGTTAAATTATTAGATAATATCATACCTTATTATTATTGATATGGCACCACGCAACTTATTTTATTTAGATGCACAGAGATTGAATAATCACAGACATTGGTGTTCTCGTGTGTATGTATTATTTTTTATCTAAACCATTGTTATATCCAGGTAAAATATAATCTGATATATAATATGAGCGGACACTATTATTGGGAAGATGTGCATTAAAAATCACAAAACAAATAAGAAATAAACCTTTAAGAAAAGATGACTATTTTGCTGTTCGTCATTATATCTTTACCGATAAACATATGATCAATAGTGCATTATCTGCAGCGACATATTTTAACCGAAAGGGTGGGTAATCATTTCGTTTCAGTTTGTAAATGACAGATCCCGCTTTTCATTTTGTGATTTTGTTTGTTGTGGTTCAACGTCACATTGTCATGCATTAGCTATATTACGTCGGGATGGACATATTGAATGATTCAATATGATCGGAAATTGTCCGATTGGTACCATACCGACACGCCGAGCAAAATTTGTCACGTTTCATCATAAATGGTATAAACTGTGCCCGTACGTATTGTTCTGACTAATTAGCCAGCCATCTTTGTTGTTATTCATTAGTGCTGCGTGTTTCACTTAAAGGAATTCGAGAAAATATATTTTCAAGATGCAAATCTTGAGAGACAAAAACATGACGAAATTGCATTACTTAGCAAGACTGGGTGTATCAAAAAGGTAAGCATCTCCTGCTTTGCATATATCACCTGGCACGTGGACCAAAATACATGCAACGTTGTTACGATTAAGAACAACATCGGTAAATTATTAAGAAACTTAGGTTTCAACTGCCTTTGATGACTTTGGTTATTCTTTTTGTTCCCTTTATATCATATAGCTATTAACATTTCTGAGCATTTATACATGCCGGGCCTTCAAATTGTCGTGCGGAATAAATGGATGTATGTAGCAACATTCCAGCAGCGCCTGCATATGAAGTTTACATCTATTAACTTTGATTCGACATTAATAATGTGGATTTTATAATTCAGAGTTGGATAAGGGTTGCATGGCGTATTATGTAGACACTTGTATCTCCCTGTGGTTTACGTTTATGCGGAACCGGTGTGTTTATGCAAATGTTGACATATAAAAATGTGAACTAACATTGGTATGGTCTTACCGATCCAATGATCATCCTTCACCTCCCCGAATCCAGATTTATATTCCGACCAGTCTTTGTAAAAGTTTACATCACCACTCTGTCTTCTCTGTATAACCTTTAAATGGGAATTGGATATATAATAATTAGCTATTAAAAAAAATAGAAAAAAAATATCTAATAGTACTTTTTAATGGAGCTTATGAGAACGTTCAAATTCAAGCAAAATATAGAAATATTAAATGTCGGTTTACATTTGAGACACATACATTCTACCACTTTGATACCAATTAAGTTATTTTAATAAAAAAAAAAGTAATTTGCATACCAATCACGCAACAACTGATGGTAACTGGTTAGACTTACCGTCCATTTTTCTCTTCCTTTCATGACACAGTATACCTTAACAGGGGTTGGACTTCCTATTGGCCATACAGTATATACACCATTCACGCCAGATTGAAAGTCCTCACATTCAGTTCGTTGCACTTATGAAAAATGAGATCCAAAAAGGATTTTTTTTTTAACGACATTATATATTTATTCACCAAATATGCTTGTTACATTGTTACATCAAGCTTTTCTTGATGTATCCTGTAATATTCCATTGATTACCCAGGTTAGTAACCAGCTGTTAATATATATATGTATATACACATTTCTTGAAATACAATTGTACAAAAGTTTTATGCATTATGTTTTTATCTATTCAATTGTGTATACTTCTTTTTAGTGACTTCAGTAATGGATTTAATTTCATTGCTCTGTTTTCGTTATATCTTTTTATGTATTCTTGAACAAATATTTGATAAACATTTACATTTGTCAATTTCTGATTAGTTACATAATATGATTTGTATATAGAAAAACCTAAAAATGCTAGGAAATAATTCAGACCAAAATAATCTTTTTCAAAAATCTTATATCCAAAGACTAATTGCTTTAACGATATGCTAAAATCTAAATTTGATTTTCTCATTAACTGATGAATACTTTTCCAAAAATTTTCTAAAAATCGTCAAGAAATAAAAAAGTAGTTATAATCTTCTTCTTCGTTACATACATTACATAGATCGTCGTTCTTCTGTTTCAATTTAAATAATAAGTGTTTTGTGTTGGTAATATGAATTGTAAAAGTTTCCATTTATGTATTTTTAACTTATTCTCTTCTAAATAATGAAACATGAAAAAATATAATTGATTAATACTAAATTAAGGTTCTCAATAATTTGTAAAATACGCAACCATTTGCTAACACCAATTGAGGGTTCAGTTTTATCTTTACAGATTCACTTGTATAATATGTTTGTTGAAAAACTTGAAACCTCAATGTAATTACCTTTCCAAATCAATTTATGTCTAGGAATATTTACAATACTCTTAATTGAACTTTCTGACTTTAACATCTGAAGCCAGTCTTTTGGGATGGCCTTTTTCAAAATATTTATTTCTGCTATCCAATTATTCTTACAGACTAATTTTTGCAAAATAAAATGTTGAGATATATCACCTGTGTCATCTATAATATAATTGACAAATATCAAGTTACTCTTTATCCAATTAAAAAAAATAACGGTTTTATTTTCAAAATTAATTTCAAAAAGGATTTATTACAACATTCAATAAAATGATTTTACGATGTCATAAAACTCACTAATCCATAACAGTTATTTAATAAAGTAAGTATCCATGACACGAGAGAGAGAAAGAGAGAGAGAGAGAGAGAGAGAGAGAGAGAGAGATGTAACAGTTTTAATTCCAGTAAGAGTAAATAAAACGACAAATTAAAAGAAAAGTGACAAATTTAGATACTTTAAAGAATCCTGACTTTATGATTTTGTAATGTTTACAAAAATTAAACATTGCCATAAAAGGAACTTTTTTTTGGTTCGTCCACCAATAAGTATTACTAGTGGGGGGTTTAACGTCCACACAGCAACTTAAGGCTCTAATTTGGACAGATCCAATTACTATATATGTTAATATGTATTGAAAAAGAATTGAACATCGAATTCCTATCTACTTGATGATAAACTCACTGCATGTTTGACCATTCCAATATGCATTATTGGGACACTCACAAAGGTTGTCGGAACACGTGTACTCCTTCATACATTCTGAATGAGTACTGCATGAACTGTTATAAACTTTTCCTGAAAGATAAAATTTGGGCTTTATTATAAGTTATTCGAAATTGAAATGGATATTTTATTCAAACTGCCTTTTATTGTCACAAGCAATATGTACTACAAGATGGATGAGCTAAAATATTGCCTGCCGTAATACCTCTATACTGACATACTATTATTTTATCATTAAAATTTAAACAACAAGCCTAAAGCACTTTTCTTGACTAACATTCTCCGGAACTCCCAAAACTAAACAACTGAAAGCTAGACTCATCGGATTTTGTCAAATGTCTTATCGTTTGTAATTGTAAATCTTATTTTTTTCTGTGGTATTCGTGTGTTATGGTAAAGATAATTAATCACCCAATTCATTAATTAGATTTTAGTTTGGTTCAACTAAATTTATACGATATATTTGGTTTACAGTTTGATTCAGAAGAAACACCGACATAGCAAGATAATACTATTAATTATCTAATTACTACCACATTTTATACTAATTAATATTGTAATTTTCATTGTTATTGATAAATGTTATATGAGTATTATAAACCAAATCTTGAATTCTATCCTAATTCTATCCTATTTTGGGGAAATTTCAGAAATTCAAATGTGACGTCACTTTTTTTTGCGTTGATCTCTTTGGCTAACTCGGCTGTGAATTTTTATGTGCTGGTTTATGTTGTTTTATGTGTCCGTTTTTATTCTGTAGTTAGTTACCACTTCGGTGTTATCATGTATATCTATTATATAGTCATTTTTATAAATTTACTGTTTGCAAAAGTATGAATTATTCTAAATACTAAGGATTTTCTTATCCCAGACATATAACCTTAGCTGTATTTGGCACAACTTTTTGGAACTTTTGGTCCTAAATGCTCTTCAACTTTGTACTTGTTTTGGCTTTCGTACTTTTTTGAACTGAGCGTCACTGGTTAGTCTTGTGTGGACGAAACGCGCGTCTTGCGTATTAAATTTTAAACCTGGTACCTTTTGTTATATGTTCTACCATTTATTTGTATTGTTGTCCTGTCATGTAATGTTGTCATTTTAATGTTATATTTAACATTGCCATAAAAGCGGGAGGTTTGGCTAGCCACAAAACCAGGTTCAACCCACCATGTTTTCTTAAAAATGTCCTGTACCAAGTCAGGAAAATGGCAATTGTTATCATATAGTTTGTTTCTGTGTGTGTTGCATTGTCGTTTGTTGTTTGTTCACTTCAGTGTTTCTGTTGTTTCGTTGTCCAAATGTACTATATTGTATTGTTTATTTGCGTAATTCTCTGTCCGCAATGTTGTACTGTATTCATGTCAGGTAATGGTGTCATTTTAGTGTTATATTTAACATTGCCATAAAAGTGCGAGGTTTGGCTAGCCACAAAACCAGGTTCAACCCACCATTTTTTTTCTTAAAATGTCCTGTACCAAGTCAGGAAAATGGCCATTGTTATGTTATAGTTCGTAATTGTGTGTGTTGCATTTTAATGTTGTGTTTCTGTTGTGTCGTAGTTCTCCTCTTATATTTGATGTGTTTCCCTCAGTTTTAGTTTGTAACCCGGATTTGTTTTTTTCTCAATCGATTTATGAATTTCGAACAGCGGTATACTACTGTTGCCTTTCTTTATAACTACTCGAGGAGCAATATAATCAAAAGGGACTTCTAATATATTTCTGGGGAAATTTCAGTAGATACTGGAACTTTAAATTACACAGCACACACATTTTCCCGAAAATGTGTGATCTTATTTACCAAACGTATGTAATGTGTACATAAAAAAAAAACTAACGTTTGACACAAAATTGTCCGTCCCAGTAGTCTGTTTCACAACACAGACATCGATTATCTCTGCACTGTAAAGTTTCATCACATTCTATTGAAGATTTACATGTTCCATTAAAGCTGATTTCTAAAATATAACTTTCCTATTAAATTAAATATAATACAATTTTCCTATTAAGATAAGATGTTGTCAAGACGTAAACAATGAGATTGCATCAAAACGAGTTCAGAATGCTTAGCAAAAGATATTATAGTTCCTTGAATTTGTTAACTTGATATACATTATGATTTTATAAAATGAATAACTAATCCAGGAATCAATATAGAAAAATTTTCATCTGGAATTGAACAGCAGTGACGATTAACTCGTGCGCTGCCACCATTCGTGATTTTATGTGTTGTTTGGTCACTTGTTAAATGATATTTCGATATTTGTATTCTCGGTTTAATGTTGTTCAATATATATTCAGAGATTTTGTCAAAGCATTTTTTTTAAATACTTTTTTATGTAACTTATTGTGTAGTGACATTATTTGGGAATGGGGTGTAGAGGGCCTCTTTCTTGTTGCTTGTGATAATGTATAACATTGTGAAAATGTGTCTTGATGTTTGATAATTGTTGTTCAGTTCTTATGATCTGATTTATACTAATGTGTCAAAGTTTTTTATGTTTGGAGAATTTGTTTTATACTATTCATTTCTCTGAATTATTCATATTTTTAATTTTGCTTGAACGCTAAACTATCGTACTTAGGACACATAAAGAGCCGTTCCAAAAGTCTGTTGCTGGACATTGACAGATCTCGCGAGCACAATACAGGGTTTGCTGGCATTCCCTTGTTTCTAAACATTTTGTGCTTGAATCTTTTTCTGAAAATGAATAAACAATTAATATGAGATTGTATTAGATATTACACATTAATAGAAAAACAAATACCATACGTCAACCATCAACACCCGTCTCCTTCAAACAAAATCAGACATACAAGCAAAGACACAACAACGTAGAGCACAGGGTCCAGAAAGCCTAACAGCAGTACAGGCACATAATGTGATGGGGTTAAACCAAATATACATGCCTCCCCGTTTACATCTCTAGACCAGATCTAAAACACACATTAAGATACAAAACCTACACAGTACAGCTCCAACAGGATGACAATTAACATGAAAACAATGCTATTTCAAGAATAAATATTCATACGCAACCATGTCCCGCTCGCATTATCACATCTCCATGTTCTGTGAACCGCAAATCGGGGGTCAAAACCGTAATTTAGCATATAAAAAATGATGAATATGAATATGTGTACTTCGTTTCAAATTGATGTCACCATAATGTTATGGAATTAAAAGTACTTGGGAGCACTAAAGGGAAAAGATTGCTTTCATTTTGCAATTTTGTGAATTTAGAATAAAACATTGAATAGTATTTAGCTAGGCAAATTATAGACTTGAGTGGGAGTTATCTCCTTTGTTCTTGATTGTACATTTGTAGTTGAACTTATTTGTATAGCACATCCATACACCATGAATGTAATTTTTAATTAAAAAAAAGTTTTCTTGACAAGTATATGGTAATTCGAATACACATCATATTGTAACTTAAATATATATGTATAACATATCATCAATAAATTGCATGACATTGACTGGATAGGATCTGAAGTGTAATCACTTCACTGCACTATTTTGTTTGAACTATCAAAGGTAGTGATAAACATTGGAAGATATAGATATCAAGTCAGTACCATAAGGGTTTTGAATGCATTTCATGCACTCTTTACCCCCAAAACTTTCTTATCCAAAAACACAAACCATATATGTTAAAGCCAAAAAAGGACAAACAAACGGACGAATGCACTGGCCTAAAACTGAATTCCGTACTATCGTATGCGGGGCAGAAAATAAAACGCCACATTCTCAAGTAATAAGGAAAGCAGGATCAACACATACTCGATACGACAGAAATTAAGCTAGGATAGCAACAGCTGTTAATTGGATCCTGTCGCTTAAGATATCAAAACATCTGAAACTGGTTTTATGAAGGCTCATCATAAATTTAATTTAAATCGGCAGTTTTTTTGTTAGGCCAGTAGGATCTAAATTCTTCCGACCATCCAAAAAGAAAAACATCATTACATAATTCGAGAGTCTATCTGTCTGTAACCCTTGATGTTGAAAGATGCAAGAAAAAGTACAAGTTTGAAAATATCATTTCTCAGTGTTTCAATTCTTTAAACGACAATACAATATAAGAAAGGATCTAAAATACCATTTAGTGTTAATTTTTTACGGGAAACCTTATATTCATAGATACGATGCTGATACAGACTGTTAAAAGTTTCGAAAGTATTTAAATGCTGTAGTATCTATTAATATGTAAACCTTACTTTGGTGTTAATGCAAGATTAGGTTCATTAAAGTCACCTTCATAAGAACATATTTTAGTATACCGAACTAGTTATGAAATGTACACGCCATAGGATGCAGTAATAGAAAAACAAGAAAGTTTTTGCAATTGTTGGCAAAGTTAAAATCGTCTTTTTGTTGTATATTTTTCATCGTTCTGCATCAATACAGCTATGTCTATAAATTGAGTCATCAGCATGAACTCGAAAGAAGCGAGATTGAGTGCTTCCAGAGCCTTCCATACACGGATACTATTCACTGTTATTACTGTCTTTATAAAGATGAAGTTTTTTCCGAAAAATTCATTTAGCATATTTAAGAAACTCGAGACAATTAACAGAAAGTATATCATCAAGGTAACTACTTTTTTTTATTACTATTATTAGCATTATTATTGTTATAATAATTGTCACTAAATTTGTCAGAATTTATCATTTTCACGTCTCATCATTATATAACAAAGAACTAAAAATTCATTGACCGCAATTAAAAAAATGTCGATGGTCAATGATCAGGTTTATTCAACATAAACTGGGAAGGCTATGACTAATGCAATGTTTCATGCGCAAGTGTGAACTGACCATTCATTTAATATACAACATAGAGTGTTGGAGTATAAACAAATTTAAAACAAACTCTTTCAAGTTTCTAATGTTAATGTTTACTCGATGACTCAAATTTAAGGACGGCATCAATCGCGACTCATGTCGTTAAAATGATATATTGATATTTTTGTCTAAAATCCTGGATACCCCATATCCTTTGTTTTTCTATTAAAGCAACTTCTGTATTCAGGTCTATACCTTACTTTTTAAGCACTGAGACCCATTCCAGTACTCTATGTCTTTACAACCGCACAGTGACTCTTTACAGTGAAGATTGTCTGCACATTCTATTGAATCATTACATGACACCATTATTGTTTTCCCTAAAGCAAACAAAAACTGCATTGTCAAATTTTATTTATGCTTATTATTATCCCTTATTACTATGTTAAATCTTTTTAAAAGTTATATTTGAATTTACAATCAATTACCAATTACATATTTTATCATTAACAAAATAAAATGTGTAACTAGGTAAACTCAATTTGCAGTTGAAGCCATTTGTTTTCAATAAATTAGTAAATTAATGGTCTGGTTGTAACTAGAAAATGGTTTAAAGAAATTTCCAACTAGGTCAAAATAGTACTATTTTATAAAGTATCTATCCGTCAAGGTTTATTGACTTTAAAGCTTTTAAAGCAAAATGAAAGAAGAACTCTTAATTTACTGCATGCTGAAATATCTTTGAATAGAAAAATCCGACTTTTTTCCATGCCCAAGCAGTTAAATTCCTAATATTATTACTTAAGCTGCACTCAAAGCCATCCCAATAGTATGTATCTTTACAAATGCAGCGTTCTTTGGCACATTGGAAATTATCCTTGCATTCATGTGTTGACATGCAGGATTCGTCTTTTCGTCTTTCTGTTCAAACATAAATTAGAGTAAAGAGTGCATTTATTTAATAACGTGTTCAGACTATAAAATATACTCTGGGTCGAGCCCACGATAGTTAACCGGAATTAAATACACAGGTCGACACTTGTTGAAATTTCTTTTCTCCCTCAACCTTAATACGTAGTTTGCACCAAAATAGTTATTATCATTTGTTCACGGGATTTGTTTACATTCTTTGCAGCACAGTTGCATTTTTTCTGTGTATTATTTTTTTGTCGGCAACCCTGGGTGGTTCCGTGTAAAACCGGCAACGCCCATCTCCCTTCTTTTGTTTGCGAAACATAACCATTCCATGTGAAGAAGTAAAGCTCCTTTTGTATCTAGCTCGCTCGACATTCAAGGTAGTGAAATAAATGTCTCCTACTTGCTCCATGTGAGACAGTATTTTAATAGCTAATTTTGTGCTTAGTGCATGAACTGCCATCTCTGGTTTCGTTTGATGGAAGAAAACCTTACTTGGCACTATAGAGACAACCTCACATTTACTCCTCTTTTCGTTCACACAAAATGTAAGGCAATTCACTCAGGTTCTCCCCACATTAACTCCTGCTAAAATTAGGGGTAATTTAACAGCCAAGTAATCAGCATGTTTGTGTTGACATGTAATATCATTGATATGTTCATTTTTTTTTCTGTAAAACTGCACAACAAATTTTGATTTATTCGAATGACTAAAGTTTTTCTACTCCAATGCATGAATTGCCCTAGCTGTGTTTGGCACTGTTTTTCGGATTTCTGGTTTTTAATGCTCTTCAACTTCACATTTAATTTGGACTTTCATTTGTTTTGATTCTAGCGCTAGTGCCAAATTGCAAACCTGGTATCTTTGATGAGTTTTTTATTCTGGTTTCGCCCCGGGTTAAGATGTTCGCACTACCTTAATCTAACCCGGATTAACTAATTCGGGACAATCTCGGATTAAAATTGCATAGTGTTGACGGGGTATAAGTTAGCGTTCAACATGGGCATGTTATTTATTCAATAAAAAACCTGACATAATCTCATTATATGGTCCTTTTGTAGTAAAAACTGCCAAATGTGAACAACCTTCAGTTGATATTGTCAAAATTGCGAGCATTTCATTTGATTTACTTAAATTTTCCTTCTGTTTCTCCTATTATTAATTTATTAAAAGGAAAGAAGATGATATGAGTTTGAGGAACATTAAACAAAGTAGTATAGAAACTGATTCATGAGAGACATGGAAATACATGACTGCTGTACAAGTGGTGCATCATAACATCTGATACAATACACATTTAATAAGTCACTTTATCATTCATATTTGTCGCATTTGTCGAGTTATTTCATATTTGATAACTTATTTATATTACTTTTAATGCAGGCTGTTTCTTGCCAGAATTCTGACTGGTCGCAACGACATGTTCCTTCACTGCAACTTAATGTATCTTTACATTCAACAGTTGATTCACAATCGGAATGCAGATCTTTCTCTGTAAATAAAAAGAACAAAGTATAAATAGATTTCATCACAATATTTTACAATAAAATTGAGAATGGAAATGGGTAATGTATCAAAGAGACAACAACCCGACCATAGAGCAGACAACAGCCGAAGGCCACCAATGGGTCTTCAATGCAGCGAGAAACTCCCGCACCCGAAGGCGTCCTTCAGCTGGCCCCTAAACAAATATGTATACTAGTTCAGTGATAATGGACGTCATACTAAACTCCAAATTATACACAGGAAACTAAAATTAAAAATGATACAAGACTACATTTTACTAACGTAATTATAAGTAAGAATTATAAGCAAAATGATTGCACTTTGTCAGTTAATCCACACTCAACTTCACAGGGTTGCATAAGCGTTCCATATTGTATTTTTTATGCTCACCGTTGAGTATTAAATTGTTTACATTCACATTATGTATTTGAATATAGTAACCGGTACATCTGCTCCATTTCCTCTTGTTACTTAAAACTTACAAAAGGGTTAAGACGTTTAACAATTTGGGAGGTACATAAGAGTAATACTTAACAAATAATTTAATACGTGATTGATGTAGAAATAAAAAGAAAATATATAGACAGATCTTTTCAAAATATGTCTAAGATAAATCATGGCCTCATGCTGATATCCCGACTGTGGAACAATTCAAGGCATGATGCCGATGCATTGACAACTGAGAGGATCATATCCTTGATAGACTATAATTCTTATAGCAATGTAATTGTTACCAAGCTAAGGAATATATAATGTTATTCTGAAAGTACAATAAAGTACTTACTAGGGAGACATTCATTGTCATTCAAGTATTTAATAGTGGGGCAATGACACGTATTCTTCAGACAACGAAGTCCTTCCTGGCATTCATTTTCAATCTTGCACGACATCGTCACTGACTTTCCTTAAAATATAAATACATGGAGTCTGATTTCACACACTGAATTTTGCTCTGAATTTTCAGACTTTTCTTCACTTAAAATATATTAAACGTAAACGAATATAACTTTACACATACATAGTATCGGATGAGGAAAAAAACGTTAAAATTAATTTACATGTATTTCCACGTTTCTACAGGTGCCTAAATGTTTTTACCTTATGGTTTTAACTTGATCATGGAAGTATTATATTGACCTGATCAACGCCAACTAGATATATATAGGATTCATGTTTCTTTCTTAGTATATAAACTTAGTAAAGTAAATTAAATTTGTAAAAAAGTCTTATGTGTTATTCAAAACTTTGTAAGACAAGTCCAATTAGGCAACATTTTTAATTACTACACGTTTTGATTAGGATTAAGGTCTGACAATTAATATCCGCTAACATGTTGAAAACAAATAAGTTGTTAGGTAGGCAAATACTAATATTTTGACTGGTTTAACAGGTGGACTAGTTTGACTTTAATAGTGATTGTTCAAAAATGACAAAATTTTAGGGTAGGCACTAAGAACTATGATAATTAGGGTTAGCGGAAACATAGGTATTTATGTTTAAGGCCTACCTCCTTGGTCCTTATAAGCCATAAAAAAAAGAGTTTATTATAAAGTTTTCATCTGGACAAGGTATTATGTATTTCTTTAGCAATACTCACTTTTCGTGCAGTAAATTTTATTCCAGTAATCATTGGTAGAACATTGACATTTATTTAAGTTGCACTGAAGAGTTTCACTGCATTCCAAATGTGTGATGCATTTGGAATTAATAGTCTTTCCTGAGTTATGTAATAGAGAGGAAAATCATATTAATTACATTGATAAAAAATAACAATGCAAATTCATTTTCAGTCACCTGAATATATAAATGGAGACGACTAACGTAACAATTTTCTCTTGAAACTGTCCCATTTCGTTGAACAGATGAGCAATTGTATGCGTTTTAAGACACAAACATGAAAGGTAATCGTACTAGTATATGATTTGTCGCTTCTTTTAATATCTTTTAGTACACGAACATTTGATGTTTTACCAAACGACAAGGTTGTATTTAAATTGTGATCAAATATATGTTCATTAGAAATATATATTTTACAAATACTGGGTTTGGTTATGTTTAGCAATTCGTGTCAATCAGAAGGATATCAACCTCTTGAACATACATTACATTGATAACAGAAATATATCACATTACATATGATAGAATCGATACCAAAGACTATCAACTATTAGACAAAAGAGAGAATACTCGTCTTATTTTCAAATCAAACAGTATCAACAATAAATTCACTAGACACTAGATGAATAGTTGATGTTGGTACTAATCATTAACATAACAACTAAGCCAAATTTTAACCGGAAACAGTACACACATAAATACAATGTATTTCTTTGTGTTTGCTAAAAATAATTTTAAATGGAAATGCATGTACCAAGTCAGGAATATGACAGTTGTTTTCCATTCGTTTGATATGTTTGAGTTTTTTTTATTTTTCCATTTGATAGGGGAGTTTCCGTTTTTAATTTTCCTTGGAGTTCGGTATTTTTGCTATTTTACTTTTTAAACTATATATACTTAATGAGCAGGAAGAACCATTCCAGTAGTCTGAGCTGAAACATTGACACCTGTGTCTGTAACAATGCATGGGATCTTTGCATTCATCTCTGGATGCACAGGTTTCAAACACAACTTTTTCTATAAATATAAAGACCTTACTGGTATATACTTATTCGTACGATAATTTGTAATAAATGAAAGAAAATTTAAAAAGAATTAATATATTTATAGATTTAAGACTTGTGTTTTCTTTTCATCATTGCGCCTCGATAATCTGGTAATCCTTTTGGTAGGTATATCTGTTATATTACCGAAGTTTTAGTAGTTTATCGATGTTCAAAGCAAGAAAATAACAATTTTAATATAAAATCAGGAAATAACTTGAGCGAATCGAAAGATCTCCGGCTGCGTCGACAGGATTGACTTCTCTCATATTGAATGCATCACCCACCATGCGAGTAAAGACTCAGTCAAATATATATTAATAAGATGGGAAAAAGATACAATTGGTAAAAGATAAATTTGGATCAAACGACTATTCTGGTGCCTTAAGATATAAGATCTCGCGAGTAGAGATGCAGACACAATGTACAGGTCAATCAATTAGTGATAGTGAGCGTAAAACATGTTCAGAGTTGATTTTCTGCAGTCGTGTTTTTTTTATGAAACTGCTAGAACAGTTTTTCATTGATAAGAACATCCCTATAAATAAAGCCCGTATGATATGAAGATGTATGCGCAATACGTATCAATTGAGATATAAAAAAGGCATACGATTGGATATACTATTTAAAAGGGGGTTAAAAGATTACAAGGGTTTAATAAAAATCATTTAGAGAGAAATGGAACAATGGGACAACTGGAAAAGATTGAGATTTAAAATTGAAAAATTAATATTGTGTTTAGTACAGGCGTGTAGGGAATTGTTATTTCGGAATATTAAAGCCCATTATATTTGTAATGGCATGCCTTTATCTATTTTTGTTTAATTATTAGCCACATTACCTTTGGAGTACGCTTTCGAGAATAACAAAAGCGCATGATTTTTGAATGGGCTAATAAATTAAAATATAATACTAGGACGAACGTTTCCCTTGTTCCTAGTAAAATAATCCATATTTTAGCAAAACACTAAACAAATAACCAATTATTTTGATACATAAATGTTAAAACTAGCAACAATACTCTTAAATGAAATATGTTAGTCACAAGCAAAATACCGTGAACATAAACGCTGAAATTGGAATGACATCTTACCGATGTCTTATAAATACTAATGGATTCTGTCAAGGTTTATATAATACTTTGGGCAAAAGGTAAAAAAGAACACGTAGATACTATTTTCATTTATCATATCGCTATCTTCATATACCCTTAATGAACTTTAAGACAAATAATGTATTTCCAAACAGACAAAGACCGAACCAATACCATTTTAGATTATAAATCTAATTTGGTTTTATCAGGTTCTATGGACTTCCCCTTTTTTAATTTCCCTTGGCCCGAGTTTGGTATTTATTTTCATTAAAACTTTTATACTAGTACATAGTAATTTGTATAACTGTCTCTATTTCAAACCTACTGGAAACACATTTATCACCATTCCAAAAGTCTGTTTCCCTACACTGACATGTCGAATCTGAGCACTGCAGCAAGTCAACGCATTCATTGGACGAACCACACGTCTGTCTCCATGTTTTCTCTGAAAATAAAATTCCAATTTAATATTACATGAACTTCAGCCTGTTTTTTTTTTTAATTTTATTATCCAAAATGGAATCCCGTAAAGAATTAAGGTTGAAAGTTTCTTTTGGCCACGTTTGATGACACTGAAGTACAGTTCACTCTTTTTTGTTTTTATTTCTCCATCGAAAAATTGTAGTTTTTTTAATGAATAATTGTCAGCAAAGAATAATTAAAAGATTTATAATTCAGATTTCGCGCATAACACGTGTTCCTGAAATACCATTATCAATTAGGTTGTTGACGAAATGTTTAAAAATTCAAACATACATGTATATTAAAACGTTTGAGATTATTCATAAGACATTAGTCTGTCAGACGTTAGTTTTGTATTCTTAAATTTAGTCTTGCATATATATTTACAAGAGATTTTCAAACTTCTTGTATTTAATGCAAAACTGTAAAATTTATGCCAAAAAAGCCTCGTTTGAATTAGCGACCTTGCCATTAATATTCAGATATGGGGCAAGGCTTTATCCAAAAGATATTACGATGTAATTTAACACAGATGTTAATGTGTGTAAAATATCATTTTTGGTAAGACCTTGGCTGATACATTTGTTTTGTCCAATCACTTTGTATAAAAACTCATCAAAGGTACCAGGCCTATAATGTGGTACGGCAAACGCGCGTTTCGTCTACATAACACACATTGTTCGCATCAAAACAGTTGAACTGCAAAATCAAATACGAATTTGAAGAACATTAAAACAGAAAATTCTGAAAAGATGTGCCAAATACGACTGAGCCAATTTATTTTGCCTGGTGTAGATAGACCTTTAAGTTTGACGTTTTCGGTCAAATATGCAAATCTCGACATATTTATGACATCATGGTGATATTATACAAGTGGCCTTTCTGCACTAAACTGTACAGATGATATCAACCTATTCAGTAAGGAATACAGTTAACATAAATTTGAAAATCTTGAATAATTTTACTAGTTTTGCAATCTCAAAGGTTATCATACTTCCACCTTTACTTCAGGTTTCATTTTATCAATATTTTAATAGATGACAACATATTTGGGATGAACTGATCTTAATCTAACCAAACTTACAAAGCAAATAATTAAAATAACACTATATAAGTTATATGCGTTTTTTTTTCTGGATTTCCCCTCACTAAGAACGCTCAAAGATGAATATTTTAAAGCCAAGGATGTATGGGTCCCGAAACCGGTGAAGAGCTATATGACCAAAAAGGACATAAAAATAAATGCTTCGTTTCTTAATCATTTCTTAATTTATATACGGACACTTTACATCCACTTTATTTGAACTTTGGTGGATAGTTGTCTTATTGGTAATCATACCACATCTCCTTATTTTTTTACTATCAGAAAGGTATGTTCTAAATCATGTCAGTACCGATGTACTCACTTCTGAGCTGATGATACCCCGGGGACTGATACTAAGTCCGCCAGCAGCGGTATTGACCCAAGGCTCTTAAAGATCTATAAATACGTCTAAAGATGGATACTTCAATAAGATACACGTATTCTACAATTTTGAAATTAAAGTCAACTTTAACATTTTTTTAAAGATTAACACTAAATAATAATGTATGTCTGGAGAAAATAAATAAAACATATTTACTATTTAAAATTTACAGCATCCTTATTCAGACCTTATATTTAAGAAAAAACAAGATAAATTAGTTGATAATACGTTCAACTTTGCACTTTATCTCCAGATTGAACTACCGTCTTAATCTTTTATTGAATGATATTACCGATGATGTACTGATGGGATTTTTTATAAATTCATTTAGTTAACTTGAATACTCACTGTTATAACAGTTTGTACCATCCCAGTATAAGTAGGCCTCACACTGACATGTTCCATCGCGACACAGTAATTTACCGTAACATTCATTTGACGTGTTACATGGTGCACTGATGTTTGTTTCTGAAAAATATGCAAATATGTTAAACAAGGCAATGTATTAAGAGTTTTAAAATACTCAAGATTGCACCTTCAAGGACACTAAAAGCTTAATAGATTCTATATATTTGTGTAGGTTCTTTCATTTTTTCAAGGTTTTTCTTGCCCAAGGCTGTCTGCATAATTTTTGTCGAGCAATTGCGACATTTTATCGTGGAAGCGAGAAATAGCGATCGAGTACGGCGTCGTCCACATTTATTAGGTTCTTCGTCTTTTGCTGATAACAGAACTTAGTTATTTGCAGCTATCATTGAGATAAAGTCTGGGGTTCAAGTTTTATCATTGAGATACAGTCTGGGGTTCAAGTTTTTTTTAGACATCATTAACTTTGTCACACCTCCATAGAATTTTATGAAACTTGTACAGATGCTGTTTATGATCAAAAGACAGTATCCAGAGCGTATATTTTGCGGATAAATGGATTGTTTTTGTAGTTAGCATTGAAATACAGTCTAAGGTTAAAGTTTTTAGACTTTTTAAAACCTTTATGGAATTAAAAGAAATTTGGAGAGAATCTTCTTCAAGATAAAAAAATACGTTTAGTATCTGATTAAAAAAAGGTTCCCGTATTTTACTGATAAATAGACTTTGATTTTAGCAGTCAACATAACACTTTTACACTGACAGCAGCAATTGCAGGCGCGATACAAGGTTCCGCGGTAGTATTGCTAATAGAGGTTCAGAAGTCAAATAAATATGCATTTGTAATCTTTGTGACTTTATTCGTAGTTCATTTTAAGCGGATAAATCCTGATTTCGGCATCGTATAGGGCTGTTATAAACTTACTTGGGGAACAAACATTGCCTGTCCAGTAGTCTTCCTCTGCACAACGACACTTGCCATGGATACAATACAACGTTTGGCTGCATTCAAGGGTGTCGGTGCAAGCAACAAATATTTGATTTCCTGTTTAAAACGATAATGATAATAATGATATAATTTAATGCATTAAGATATTATGAAAATCTAAGTTGGGAACAAACAAAAAGGATACTAATAATATATAGATAAAAATAAAATGATGATAAATTATCAAAATGAAATGAACAACTAATTTGAGTTATCAAAATATGTAACATCAGATACCACTAAGGTGAACTCAATGTTTAAAATCCCCCTTCCATATGTATATACATAAGAATTTGTTTAAATTACCTTCAGCCACCTTCGAGACCAAACAATTTGGAAGCGAAGCATATAAAGCGTTTCAAAACTTCAACATAAAAGAATAGTCGAAAGTTAACCAGACCTTCAAGAACCATGTGAGGTCAACTTGCGTAAACTTTATTTGTGTCACTTGCATAATTCATAAAAGACTGATTACCTGCATCAAAGAGTGTCATTTCATGATTTACTTAGTATATCATTGTTAAGTTTGATCATGGCTAATTAAAGGCAGTAAATTGACCCAAAATTATTCCCATCTTTGTCTACATCTACATCATTCTACATATATACATTGTTAACTTGTACAAGTCGTTGGTCCATCGCACATGTACATGTCCGATGGTCTTGTTTGATAGATGTCTCATTGGCAAGCAAACCACAACACATACTTGCCCAGTGTTTGTATTTAACTGTTCCGTACTTTACTCAATTCGCCAGGACCGTTTAAATTTTACCTGGTCCTAATTCTATAAAACAGTACTGAGCGGCAATCGAGACATTGAAAAGAAAATCTCAAAATTATTTTAGTCCCGAACCATATAAGTATTAGATGTACATGCCGTATCTAAACTGTTAATTTAGAGTTTAGGGTTTTACCTGTGCTAATTTAATGTTCTGTTGTGTTCCTTTAATTGCTCCAATACTAGTGAATTTGTAGAGATTAAAACCAGGAAGTCATGGTTGAAATATAAAAAATAGAGCCCCACCACATGTTCATAGCCTGTCCAAAGTAAAAACCTCGTTAACTTTTGTTTCTGTGCTATGTATCAACACTTTTGTAACTTGGACAATTTGGTATGATGACATTGTCTGATGAATTTAAGTTTTAAGACTCGAGTGAATTCGAGTTTGACACATTGTATATAGACACACGCACCTGTACATTGCTAACTGATTGATTGGTGATTAATTGATCACACGCACCTGTACTTTGCTAACTGATTGATTGATTAATTGATTGATCACACGCACCTGTACATTGCTAACTGATTGATTGATGATTAATTGATCACACGCACCTGTATATTGCTAACTGATTGATTGATTAATTGATTGATTGATCACACGCACCTGTACATTGCTAACTGATTGATTGATGATTAATTGATCGATTGGTCGACTGCGACATATATCAAATGCATAAGGACGATAATATTTTAAGAAGCAATGTTATGGATATACCCTGCTTTATACAAGACCGACACACAGAGTCAGATCTATATATATATATACTCGGACATATCATCCTGACTGCAAGTCGACCAGTCTTTGATCCTACTCCTATATGCCGTGGAGAAATAGTAAATTCCAGTTTAAAGTCTTTGGTTCGAATAATTCCATTTTAAAGTATTCGATTTGAACCTTCCAATTTCGAAGTACAAGTCGATGCGATTCGGATCGATCATTAAAATTATATATTGACTTATATTTGCCTGCAAACATGTTTTACCCCGCCATCATTTATATGTGCCTGTCCCAAGTACGGAGCCTGTAATTCGTCTTTTCTTTCTGTGTATAGTATTGATCTGGGTTAGTTTCTCGTTTGAGTTGTCTTACATTTGTCATTTCGGCGGGGGCCTTTTATAGCGTGCTATGCGATATAGGTTTTGATCATTGTTGAAGGCCGTACGGTGACCTATGGTTGCTAACTTCTGGTGGAGAGTTGTCTCATTAGTAATCATACCACATCTTCCTATTTCTACATCATAGATTTCTTTTTGTATTAGGTAGAGCTATAGAACAATTACTAAAAATTGCTAGACTGTTCGTGAATATTCTTTCAAATATTTGTTGCAAAAAGATAATTTCCCAATACAAGTAAATACAAACTACCTTTAGCCGTGTCAGTTGGACTTCGCTTTTCCTTTGAGACGAACGGTCCGATTTTACCAATACATGAAGTCAGGACAGTTAAAAGCAACATCCACCATACACGCGACATTTTAAAAGGTTTACAGTCGAGAAGAAATTATATTAATACATATAATAGATGATAACAATTTGCGAAGGTTAAAAAGGGAGAGACGAAAAGCATACTTCAATTTTTTAATCATCTCGTATTACAATTGATAATAAAAAGCTTTTAAAGTGTAGACATCGTTGTTTAGCGAGGGTTTTTTTACCAAATAGACGAAAGTGATTTAAATTGTTGATGAAAATACATAAAACTGATATAAAACAGTCCTGTTGGTGCACTCATACTAAAAAGTTAATCATTGAAATTTGTACCTAAGATGTTTGTAACAATATCTGAGAGGATATCATATCTTCAAAACTCTTGTCCAGCTAATTATAAAATATATATACTTCCGTAAGTGTAGTTGTATTTTAAATTGTCATAAAATATTTCATGGTCTGTTAATGTCTGAAGTCCCGGTCGGTCGGTCGGTCGGTCGGTCGGTCTGTTATAAATTTACATGTCAAAATACGTCATTTTATAACTTTTTTACATGCATTACTATATTTGCTGTTTCACCTCTTTTTCAGTGAACATCCGTAATTTTTTTTAAATCCTTTATTTTTTTTAACTTGAAAATCAGTTCTAATGAAATTTTGATTTAGGAATAATTCTCTTGACTCCAACAATTTTATTAAATCTATTAGCTAAATTTTTATCCACTCCAGCTGATTTCAATAAAGTAGCCGAAGGTCAGATTAGAATATGCGTCCAATTTTACATATTTTGCAGATTCCATAATGTTGTTTTTGTCAATGACAAAGCAATCTCTACCCCAGGAATAGATAACCTTAGCTGTATTTGGCAAAACCTTTCGGAATTTTGGGTTCTCAGTGCTTTTCAACTTCATACTTTATTTTGGACTTTTTAACTTTTCTGATTCGAGCGTCACTGGTGAGTCTTTTGTAGATGAAACGCATGTCTGGCGTAGGCAATTTAAATCTTGGTATCTATGATGAGTTTATTGTTATTCTGCGTTTAAAAATACTACTAAAGTTAAAAATCTGAATTAAGATTAGATAATATGTCACTCATTTTCAGGTTAAGATTGCTCACATATCCAGAAATCAACGCCACTTTGCTTATTTGAATATTATACTAAAGAAATCGGATACGGGTCACGGAAATTATATTGAAATGATAGGGAATTTAGAAAAAAAGTCTGTTTTAACTTTGATTTAAGTGATAGACAGGTTGCCGGGGCAGAAAATAAATATACACAACAATATACACCATTTAAACGAAATATAATGACTGGCGTTGCAAAAATCAAGGTTCCTGAGCTATTTTAAAAATCGAAGCGAGAGGATTTTAACATTGCAATATAAAATACAGGCTAAAATGGCTGAAACGTCAAATTTGCAAACTTCGTGTTGAAAATTGGCTTACAAGGTCATTAGAAATACAGGTTGCCGGGGTGAAACTTGAAACTTGAATGTCCAAAGAATAAGCAAGTCCAAACCTTGTATGTGTAGTCGTTGAACTCTAGGTTCCCACGTAAAGTTAAAATGCCTCTATTTCAAGAAGAATAAACTCACGAAAACACGAAAAATTCACTAAATTCGCGTTTATTGTTTTGGTTTTGACCGCCTGACAACTTTACGGAAATATCAGAGTGATTATAAACATGGACTCTGTGACGGGCAACTTATAATATCCGTGTTTTAAAGATTTTAATGATATCAAGCCAGTCCAGTTCAAACTATTATCACGTGGTACAATTCTCATTTACATATTATGAATATTAATTAGCAAAAGTACTACTAATTTCTGGCTATGAGGATTCGTTGACCATTATTGATTTTAAAGGGATTTTGAGAAACACAATCATTCTAAAGAGAAGAATAATAGTCGGGTATTTTTTATAACAAAAATGTCTGGAGAGCCACCACATACTTTAGATATCCCCAATAGGGCGACAATGATTCGGAGAACTTGCAATTTTTTGAGATGCAGACTTCATAAAGTTAATTTTCAGAGCGAAACTGGATACAAAATAAAATAAAATATTCAACTTACATTTTAGTTCCACAAGGAGCTAAAATCTAGGGCGTATATATTATTAGTACAATAGTGCCAGCTAAAAAAAAAACAAAAAAAAAAAAAAAAACGTTCTTGCATTGTATATATACCAAGTAAGGTCACGCATTCATATAAAGTGTATTATGGTGTTTATCTTATTTAACTTTGATCAGCTTAACCTTATTGTCTACATCTACATCTACATAATACTTCTTAACTTCAATATGTTGGAAGATTACAAGATACGGCAGGGAAAATTTAAAAAATCTTAACATATTTCCACTAAATTATAAAAATATTTTTTTGTAAAACCTTTTTTGTATAAAGATAAAAAAAAACCATTTATTTGTTCTAGCAATATATTTGGGATTTTCACCAGACTTAAATGCATCTAAGTCTGGGCTACTGACTACCTAGTTTGGTAAGGAATTCCACAATCTTGGAAAAAAAGAAACTAATGGTAACTTGTTTGTGCAAGAAATATATGTTGTATGTATGGCAAGCCGTTTTACTATTTATTCTAACTTCAAGATATCTCATATAATATATAAGATATCTTATATTATCCAGTTTTTAAAAGATATCTTATAAACTTTATAAGATATCTTATATACTTTATAAGATATCTCATAAACTTTAGAAGATCTCTTATATAGTTTATAAGATATCTTATATAGTTTATAAGATATCTCATATAATTTATAAGATATCTCATATAATTTTCTTTATAAGATATCTTAAAAACTTTATAAGATATCTTATATATTATATGAGATATCTTATATGTTTTATGAGATATCTATATAATATTATTTATAAGATATCTCCTAAAGTTTATAAGATATCTTATATAAATAATTGCATTGAAAATCAAAGTCTCCCTTTAAATCAACCAATCAAAAAATATTATCAAATCATTGAAGTGCGAACTAGTAAACTGGATTCCTACGTTTCATTTTATAAATAATTGTGTCCATGAACCAATCTTAGCAAAATCTACTAATATTATTGCCTATAGGATATTTTATTTCTTGTCCGTATCTTGTTTCTATATATAATGATTTTCTATGTATGAGGGGGAGTCGGAGGGGTCCTGATCCCGAAATCCCGGGTTTAAAAACATGAAATCCCGAGGTCCCGAATATAATGAAATTTAAATCCCGACATCCCGAAATTCGAAAAAAGAATTCCCGGATCCCGAAAGGATCAATCCCGAAATCCCGAGCTTAAAAACACCCGATCCCGGAGTCCCGATAAAGGTCCGACCCCTCTCATGTATCGCTGTGTATACGTTATATGCAATTTTGTATGCATTTAAATGTTTGGTTCAATTACAGGTTTATACTACTAATGCTTTGTTAATGCATGATTTGGTGATTCATATATATAGCATGTTTCTCTTATATATATTTACTTTAACTTATATATATTATCTTTAACTGTTAAAACCTGATTTGACCTTTTCTCGGTAGATTGTTCTGTGGTTAATTATAAACTTTTACACATCTATTTATTTGAAAGGATTTTTCCAACGTAAATTAATGATCTGTGGTAATCAACTGGTCTTCTATGAATTTCTTTGATTTGATGATATTACACCTGGTGTTTCGGATATCATTTAGGTCAAGTTCGACCAAGGCCGCTCATCCTCGTCAGGTGCCCTGGCCTACTTTATTTTTGTTAACTATAATATTTGATTATAATTACTTTTTAATTATAATCAATATGTTTCTATCGTGTAACGTATCAAATGCAGTTACATTTTTGTGGTTCTGATGTAGGGAACGTTTATTATTTAAAAATAATGGTTGAAGTCGCGTTTTAAGATATCTTATAAAGTATATAAGATATCTCATATAATTTTCTTTATAAGATATCTTATAAACTATATAAGATATCTCATAAAGTATATAAGATATCTTATAAAGTTATAAGATATCTTATAAATATTTTTTATATAAGATATCTTATATACTTTGTAAGATATCTCATATAGTTTATAAGATATATTGTATAGTTTATAAGATACCTTATATAGTTTATAAGATATCACATATTGTTTATAAGATATCTTAAATAGTTTATAAGATATCTTATAAAGAAATTTATATGAGATATCTTATAAATTATATGAGATATCTTATAAACTATATAATATATCTTATAAAGTTTATTAGATATCTTATAAAGTTAATTAGATATCTTATAAAGTTTATTAGATATCTTATAAAGTTTATTAGATATCTTGAAGTTAGAATAAATAGTAAAACGGATTGCCATATGTATGTCCTTTATGGTTTGATATCAGTATTGTGTATGTATTTGTCGGTTATAAAAGCTTAAATTATGTTTTTGTTTTGTGACATTCTAATTTATTTGATTTGATGGTGTTCCGTTGAAAAGGGAGGGATTTATTAAAGGTGAACATGTTCATTATCGTTTCATTTCCCGGTATGTATCAGCCCGAAGTAAACAACAAATGAGCTAACAAAACGACCTGTTTGACTACACTCCATATCCTAGCAAGTCTCATAAAATCTTGGGTAGTCCGATAATTTGGTCATATCATAAGGAAAAACCTACGAGATTCTAATCCCATTAGTATAATAGTCCCAGCTACATGTAGTATTGATAGACGAGTTTCCAGTCTTTTTAACAATTTTTTAGACAGAATGTTATATACTTGTGAAAGATAATATCTGACCTTGACATTTAGCCTTCTAGGTCAAATAATTACTATTTATATTTCCATCCAACACACAATACATTTTATATATTCCTGCTTTCAAGGCAAACGAGGTATGTCCAGTGCACGATGTAGTGACGATATGGCCGATATTGTCAACTTCGTTCTTGATTTTATACCTGCTCACAACATTGTCTACATAGTCCCCTTTTCTGTCTACATTGCCGACATCGTGACGACATCATCCCCCTTTCCTGTCTACATCATTGACATCGCCGACATCGTGACGACATCATCTACATCGTCCCCCTTTCCAGTCTACATGGTTGACATCGCCGACATCGTGATGTTGACAACATAGTGACGACATCGTCTACATCGTCCCCCTTTCCTATCTACATCGTTGACATCGCCGACATTGTAATGTTGACAACATATTGCTGACATCGTCTACATCGTTTTTCTTGCAGTCTACATTGTTGATATCGCCGATATCGCGATGTTGACAACATCGTGACGACATTGTCTACATCGTCCCCTTTTCCTGTCTACATCATAATGACATTGACATCGCCCACATCATGATGTTGACAACATTGTGACGACATCGTCTACGATGTCGGCGAATCCGGGTCCGTTTTCGCGCCCATTCACGTTCGCCCCCTTTCACGTTCGCACCCCGGGTCCGTTCGCACCCTTTTTATTGATTTTGTCTTAAATAATTTTTCAATCGTATTTTGGTTAGTGTATTGCTATAAATATTTTTTTGTTCATTGTTTTAAAATGAAGTGACTTTCTAAAAACGATTTTTGTGTTCAATAATTTTTTAATCGTGTTTTGGTTATTGTATTGCTATAAATAAGTTTTTTTTCATTGTTTCAAAACATGCAAAATAAAGTGACGTTTTTTGTGTTGAATATCTTTTTAATCGTGTTTTGGTTAGTGTATTGCTATTTTTTTTTTCATTGTTTCAAAATAAAGTGACTTTCTAAAAAGGTTTTTTGTGTTGAATATTATTTAAATGTTAAGATACCAAACCGCTTTAAACTCAACAACAATAACATTTTGAATCTTAATTGTTTTTACTCATACCAAGTTAAATATATGCTAATATAACTACATGCAGAATTTACATCAAGTTTAGCTGTGTAAACACCATATATAATTAACAGTAATCATAAATAATTAATCATCAAATCAATTTAAAACAATATTTCATTTAAAAAATTCAAAAATTGCCAAATTTTTCTTTATTTTGAGATAAACATCTTAAAAAACATCTCATCGGGTTTTTGAATAAAAAAAAAGGTGCGAACGGACCCAGGGGGCGAACGTGTATTGGGCGGAACGGACCCGATACCGATGTCGGCAATGCCAACCATGTAGAGACAAGAAGTTTATCAATTTCAATTTCAAATAATGTATTTATATTACGTCTGTGTCAATGTTCTTAATAGTAGAACTTATTTGGACAGTTTTTTAATGTTTGCAAATCTCTATCCTCCTCCTCCTCCTCTTCCTCCTCCTCCTCCTCCTCCTCCTCCTCCTCCTCATCATCATCATCATCTTTGCGATGTTGACATTATAGATTACTTTGTAAAACAGGGTTTTGACATTGTCTTTTTCGCGATGTGGGCAATGCCAACCATGCAAAAACAAAATGATGAAAGGATATCGACAAAGTAGTACAACACCATGTCGACATCGTTGTATTCAAAATTAACAATGTAAACAGGAGTAATGTGTTAGCGATATCGGCAATGTCAACGATGTAGACAAGAGTATGAAACGATATCCACAACGTTGTACACTATCGTGTTGACATTGTCTACTTCGCGATATCGTCAATGTCAACCATGTAGACAAAAGTATGAAACGATATCAACAACGTTGTACAACATTGTGTCCACATTGTCTACTTCGCAATATCGTCAATGTCAATGATGTAGACAAGAGTATGAAACGATATCGACAACATTGTACAATATTGTGTCAACATTGTCTACTTTGCGATGTCAACAATATCGGTACTACTTTGTACACTGGACATGAATGAGGCAAACAAACAAATACTCTTTTTGCCAATCATGGCGCCCAAAATGAGCAGAATAATTACAATATAATTTTTCAAACATAATATAAAAGTAAATTAAAAATGGATTAAACAAATTATAACATGTTTAGTTTTGATTTAATTGATTAACATCTAATCTCAAAGTAAATGAAATAAGTAAATTGTAATAATAGAAATATATAATATGACCCATAGTTTGTTGTTCTGGACTCTTTACTAACAGCACACCTCATAGTATTATCATTATTTATTAAATGTTTATAATGACTAAAGTAAATGCATATATGATCATATATATCTATAACTCTATACAAAGTAATCTTATTTAGTATTGGCATTTGTATTTCTGTTTTTATTTCAAAACCTCTAATAGTTGACAAATTATTGTCAAAATGTTTTTATCTTCATTTCCCATTAAACCAAATAAAATAAAAAGAGATATGTTATCAAGTTTTGAAATATTTTTATTTTTACTAAATATTTTGCGAAAAAGGGATTTCTAACATTATTCAAAGCTACCACAAGCCCTTTTCAATGCAACAAGGATTTGAAGATGGGGGTCATAACCGACCCCCTCATGGGGGGCATGGTAATGCTGTAACTGACTATCACCTGACCATACTAACTACAAACCAATGTTTTGCAAACATCATTATGCTTACTAAGAAGATTTTGCAAGACACTTGGTAGTCCAGCTGATCCAATAGGCATTTGTTAGCTATTGCAATCACTTGGAATTTGTAGTAACACTTTTTCAATCATAGAAGCTGTTTCTTGGGACAGATGCTTCTTATAGCAACTATTGAAATTATTTGTAACAAAAGAATACACATATTTGTACAGTAAATACATGTATATCATTTACTTTACAGGACTTCATTATGTTAGTATCAATCCTTTTATTCACCAGTCTTTCTACACTTGTGATTGCATTAGACAATGGGCTGGCTTTAACACCAACAATGGGATGGAGAAACTGGGAAAGATTTAGGTGTGAAGTGGACTGTGAAACATACCCAAATGACTGTATCGGGTAACTATACACTAAAAATAGGCAGGTTGTTTGTCATATAATAAACTATTGGTTGATGGATTGATGTTTGTTTAATACCTCCTTATTGTAAATTACAAAATGCTATATATGTAATTAAACCAATGACATTTATTAAGCCCTTGAATTTTTTTTTTTTGGCAAATTTTTAGCAAAGATTTTATTTTGTTTGAACATTAAGATAATATTTAATCTTAACATAGTATTTTCTGCATACAGTACTTATGAATTAAATGAGATGTTGGTTAAAAGTCATAAACAATAATTAAACAAAGAAATAACTCAACATCACAATAACATGAATAAACCAGATAAGTATGAATAGAAGGGAAAATGGTACTCCATTAGTCAAGGTTTTGAAAATTACACTGAGCATAGGACAAGTATTAATATATTACACTGAGCATAGGACAAGTATGAATAAATTACACTGAGTATAGGACAAGTATGAATAAATTACACTGAGTATAGGACAAGTATTAATAAATTACACTGAGTATAGGACAAGTATTAATAAATTACACTGAGTATAGGACAAGTATTAATAAATTACACTGAGTATATGACAAGTATTAATAAATTACACTGAGTATAGGACAAGTATTAATAAATTACACTGAGTGTAGGACAAGTATTAATAAATTACACTGAGTATAGGACAAGTATTAATAAATTACACTGAGTAAAGGATAAGTATGAATAAATTACACTGAGTATAGGACAAGTATTAATAAATTACACTGAGTATAGGACAAGTATTAATAAATTACACTTGAGTGTAGGACAAGTATGAATAAATTACACTGAGTACAGGACAAGTATGAATAAATTACACTGAGTATAGGACAAGTATTAATAAATTACACTGAGTATAGGACAAGTATTAGTAAATTACACTGAGTATAGGACAAGTATGAATAAATTAGAAACTACCAAAGGTCTGCCATGCTTTTATTTTCTGCTAGACTGAAAATTTTGTACATACTGTAACTGTTAAGAACACCTTGTATGAGTTTACAAACTGATGCCTTGATGTTTTAAGATTCCTAACAGATAGTCAGTAAAAAATATTGGATGTGAAAATTTGACAATCTTACTTCACTGCATTTGATTGGTTGAATTCTGAGTCTGAGTACGATAATGGTACACAAATTTTTGATGACGTTAACGGGTACATCCGTTAAAATTTAACGTGGAATTCACAAACTTTTCCGTAAACATTCTGATAACGGGTGTGCTATTAACGGGTGCATTAGTATGCAAATTAGACGTAATTGATGTGTAGGGTGTTTTCATTTGTTTATAAATCAACTTGGCAATGCAGTAAAAAAATGGAATGTTTTCATTTTTATCATAATAGGGATGATTTTTCTTGTAGTTATGCTTATAATATTTGCTGCAATACGTCTAAAAACAAACAATAAATCAAGACTGCATCTTGGTGGTGTTATTTGTTCATTTATCTGCAACGTTTATTATTTTATTTTTTTATTTGATTTGATAGGCTAATGGTAGTAGTGAGCATGACTCACGTGGGAAATGTAGCGGTTTGATTCTTCCAACCAAATCCCTGAGGATCCCTGCGAAGGTTATATTGCAAGGAAAAAATATTCTTCTTTCCAACATTCCCTAATATTTTTAAAACTAAGTCAAATGTCTTGTCCTTTATCGATCCCTATCGATCAAATCATGTAAAACCAATAAAACTAGATCTTTTGTTAACATGTTCTCGGTCAAAATATACATGTACATCAAATATCTGCCACTGAACATTAAGCAAACAACAACCAATCATTCAATTTGTGTTAGAGTAGTTTAAGTATAATCATTTTTTCTCTTTTTGAACCACATTAGGATATTGTCTCCACTTTAAACTTTGACAACAATGTTAGTTTGACAAGTAAAAATAATTTGCCATTTGAATATACACTTTATAATTTAGTTGTGTTTTACTATTTGAACTATTTCTCCTGATTGCAGTCTGGCATATTTTATTCAGTGCAATATTTTTGTTGCTAATAAGCACTACACTTACTTAGTATGTGTCAAGAAAACCAAATAAGGACAGTCAAATAAAATAACATTTATATGTAAAAAATGTGTACAACTAGTTAAACATTAAATAACTAAGCCATTGGCATTTGAGTTTATGGCAAACCAATCTCAACCTTCCATAACCCGAATGATCACTTTGGATAACCATTCAAAACATTTGTGTGTCAGATTACCATGAATATAAGTTAAGCTATTCAATGTTACAACGGGCCCTTCGTACATGTACTTGTCACTGAACTTATCATTGGATTACGCTTGATACATAACGACGACAGAAATTGATTATGCCTGAGTTTTTCCCCCCAACTCAATATTGAGTTTTCTAAACACCTTGCATATTTTTATGACTGTTTTTCAGGTTTCATTGAAATAATTTCGTTTTCATATTGCATTTAAGAAATATTGCAAAGGTCGAATTCATATATAATGCACTCTTAAGTGCCAGTTTAATGGATACATTAATGTACCCATTAATTATCGGGCTTAACGAAACATTTAACAAAGACGTTAACGGAGGCTTTGTGAATTCAAATTAAAATTAGCGGAAACTTAACGGAGATATTAACAGGTTTGGTAGTTAATGGATGGTTTGTGAATAAGCTCCCTGGCCTCAATGAAATTATTGAAATTAATCATAGAAATACCAAATACCATTTAGTTATGATTTGCCTTTTAGATTAAGACTTGTCTGGCAATTAAGACTGTTTCTGGACTATAGCTCTCTGTGTTTTTGGAAAAGTTCATCCATACAGAACTAAAGCAATTCATCTATGTGATTTTTATTATTTAGGTAAGAACTTACATGTATGCCAATATTCTTTTTTGAAGTGAAAGATTATTTATGGATATGGCCGATGCTATTGTAGCTAGTGGATTTAAGGATGCAGGGTACCAGTATGTCCTTCTAGATGATTGCTGGCCAGCTCCACATAGAGATTCTTCAGGAAGATTACAAGCAGATCCAAAAAGATTTCCTCATGGGATTAAAGCACTGGCTGATTATGTAAGTAAAACACAGACAAGACAGACTATTCTGAAAATATTACTGCATTTATTTTATCCTGGACTCGAAGACTTTGTGAAAATCATCTAACCTGGTTATTCTGACTGCAAAAATTTTCCTCAAGGTCTTCCATTATAACGTTTTAGGTCTTATTGTCTCACTGTTTTAAGCCATCGTTTATGGTCTTCTGGTATGTTGTGACATTCAATAGTTGGTCATTTCATCAGGCACTAGTTTCAGGATTTCCCAGTAGTATTTGTCAGCTGAAATAGCAATTTTGGAACTATAGTTTAGGTACTTTCATATCGGCACGGCCCATTTAGTTTGCTTAGGTGACAATGCCAGGAAAACATTTACGTTTACATAATTTGCATTTTTTATTTTCTGCAAGTGAAGTGGGAAACTTGAGTTGTTATTCTTGTCAATTACCCAGATAAAAATAGAAGCATAATGCTTCCATTAATGATCATGAAAATCATAAAAAATTGCGGAATTTTATGTGAATATTATAAATATAAAGTTTGATAATTTTTAAGCTCAGAACACAAAATTTGAGGCAACCAAGGAACATGATGTTTACAAATAATTGAGATTTTAATGTTATGTTTATGAACAGATCCATTCTAAAGGTCTAAAGTTTGGTATTTATGAAGACTTTGGTAAGAAGACATGTGCTGGTTATATAGGCAGTGAGTTCTATCTACAGACAGATGCCCAGACCTTTGCTGATTGGGGAGCAGACTTGGTTTTCTTTGATCACTGTAATGCTGCAGCTAAGGATATGAAATATGGTAAAAATAAAAGTATAAAAATAAAGAGATGTGGTGTTCTAGTTCCTATATATAATGCCCTATTAAAGAATTTTATATAAACTTAAATATCATTTTCAATTGCCAAGAGATTATAGGAAAGTAAACCATGGATTTTACCTGCACAAAATATGTACGACGTACCACCTCCAATCAAAATTAACATTATATACAAAATCAATTAAAATCTGTTATTTAGATGACCTCATAAATACAAGCAGTAAAGAAACATCACAACCAGGAAAATAATATATATCTATATCTTACAAGTACCCCTGACAATGTAATATTTAAAAAAAAATCCACAGCTCTAAATTTTACCCAACACATGATATATATATATAGTAATTAATTTTTATGCCCCACTAAGGGGCATTATGTTTTTCGGTCTGTGCACCGTTCATTTGTCCCGCTTCAGGTTAAAGTTTTAATTTAAAGTTTTTGGTCAAGGTAGTTTTTGATGAAGTTGAAGTCCAATCAACTTGAAACTTAGTACACATGTTCCCTATGATATGATCTTTCTAATTTTAATACCAAATTAGAGTTTTGACCCCAATTTCACGGTCCACTGAACATAAAAAATGATAGTGCATGTGGGGCATCCGTGTACTATGGACACATTCTTGTTTTTTTATATTTGTATAAAGGTTTCCCTATTATGGAGTTTTTCTTGAACAAAACTGGCAGACCAATGATATTCACTTGTCCTTGGCCTATGGATAACAGAATACAGCATATTAAGGTATTGTGAAGTAAAATTTGTACTTTTGAGGTACAACAGTACTTTTTTCTATTTTATACTAGATAATACTTTGATAATAAATCCAGGGAATATGCTTTAAAAAATTGACCAAGCAGCATCCAAAATTGAATGCTGCATACTACTATAAATTCAATTATTGTTTGCATTTATTTTTGCAAAACCTTTACCTCTGGCAAAAATGCCAAATCTAATTATTGTGACTCTGTTAGTCTCTGATACTGTCGTATCTTTTTGCATTATTAAAAGCATCGCAATAATTTCTGAATTTATAGTAATTTGTGAAATTTCAATTAAAATGCATGATTAAATCCACCCATGACAAGTACATGTACATGATACAATTTACATTATTCACTCGAAATTACTGATCTCATGACTAAAAACTAAAAATTCTGAAAAAAAAAGGAGATGAGATTGTATTTTTCACATTTCTGTTTCACTCTTTTTCCAGCCAGAATTCTTTTTATAAAAAAGATTTGTAACATTTTTACATTACAGCTATTAGGAAAATCTGTTATATTTGGAGTTTATTTATACTTTATGATTTCTAACGAGAAACAGAAAGTTTGATATATTTTGAGTATGTTTTGATTTTATTATTTCTAGCCAGATTTCCCTGCTATAAGAAAAACTTGTAATATGTGGAGAATTTACAATGATATTGAAGATTCCTGGGACAGTGTGATAGGGATAATTAACTGGTGGTCTAAAGACTGGTACAATATGTCTGCTTATCATGGACCTGGAGGATGGAATAACCCTGATATGGTAAGAGTTATGGCTAGTCTGAAGTTAAGGGTCCTAAGTTGACATTACTCACATTTATGGACCAGATTCAAAATAAAATGTTAAGTTGACAAAAGTTGAATTAAATACCTAGCTGGAAATTTTTTTTTTTATGTACCTGATACAGTTATGCCCCATGTCAGGAGAATATGTTTTTGTTGAGCCTTTTGTGGGAGTTATGGGACTTTCACCATTTTTACATTGTTGTACAGAAGCCTACTAGTTTCACAGCTGATTTGGACATTTCAATACTTAATCATGATCATGTTTATTTATTCTCTGTTGTAAACAACATTTATGGAACTGTTAACAAAATTATAGATACTTAATGTTGACACAACTCCTCTGCTAAGGTCAATATGAAAATAAGAAGATGTGGTATGATTGCCAGTGAGACAACTCTTCACAAGAGACCAAATGACACAGAAATTGACAACTACAGGTCACCTTACGGCCTTCAACATTGAGTAAAACCTATACTGCATACTCAGCTATAAAAGACCCTGAAATGACAAATGTAAAACAATTCTATCGCGAAAACTAACGGCCTAATTAATTTATGTACAAAATAGTGAAAGAAAAACAAATATGATATACAGCAACAAACGACAACCATTGAATTCCAGGCTCCTGACTTGGGACAAGCACATACAGAATGTGATGGGGTTAAACTAGTTTGAAGGTGCCAACCCTCCTCTAACCTGGGACACTGGTGTAACAGTACAACATAAGAACAAACTATACAAATCAGTTGAAAAGGGCTTAACTCATCAGATGGATACAAAGCAGAAATACATCTAAGAAAAACACAGAGTGGAAGTGGTAGGGTACTTATACATCCCCACAACAAAAACTTATAAAAGTATATCATGCATCTAAGACTAAAATATTAATCAGTACACATCCAAAATCCAATGGATTTAGTGTAAAGACGTCATTAACAGTCAGAGAAAAACATGACCTTGTGCAATGCCAAGATACAGATATAAACAGATTGTAGATCCATGAATGTGCATATGTATATAAAAATAACATTTAGTTTGATTTTAATTTACTGATAACAAAATCAATATTAATACCAATAAAAACAATATTCAAAGTTCTAATTATAGTGTTGAACATAGATTACATTCATTGAAATCCAAAACATTACAACAGAAACGGGCACAGCAAACAAGTTGTGATATGTAAACACTGTAAGATGGTGCCAAAGGATCATCACAGTCCAAAAATGGAAAATTAACAATAGGGAACGAAAAATGTCTCTTTTGTCGTAAATTTTAGTGAAGAGTTTCCGATGTAAAACTGAAATATCTAAATCTAGGAAAGGACAGTTATTACCGTTTGTATTTGATTCATTTAAAGTAAGAACCTTTGGGTAAATTTCAGCAGTATATTTAGAAAATTCGTGATTATTTAACGAAAAAATATCATCAAGATAACGGTAAGTGTTGTTGCATTTATCAATTAAAAGCAATTTAGACAAGTCTTTACTGTGTTGGTCATCAACTGTGATTCATAACAGTACAAGAACAAGTTTGCTATTAAAGGGGCACAATTGGTGCCCATAGGAAAACCTACAACCTGCCGAAATGTACATCAATATTATCAAGGAGAATAATGCATTATTCCTTTTCAGATAGTTGTAGGTAACTTTGGGTTGAGTCCTGATCAGGAAAAAGTACATTTTGGGATGTGGTGTATATTTGCTGCACCATTGCTACTGGCTAATGACTTAAGAAGTATAAACAATCGGTCCAAGGCTTTGCTACTGAACAAAAGACTACTTGCTATCAACCAGGACCCCTTAGGAATACAAGGAAAACCAATTCAAATGGTAGGTAAATTATTGACTGATTGATTGTTTATTTATTGCTCTGTGGCAGGTAAGAAATTCAAGTTTTTAATTGTTTATTTATTGCTCTGTGGCAGGTAAGAAATTCAAGTTTTTATACAGTGCTGTCTTCAAAACACCCCTGGTCTTGCTCTTTTTGGAGTTCATTTGATTCCCTCAGTTTTTAACTGGATTTCCAAAGGAAAATATTGGTTATTGATTTTCTGATGTACAGCGGGTGGCGGCCAGGTGGGCAGCTGCCAAACAGTGTCCATGAAATTACTTGAAAACTTTTTGATGAAATCTTTTCAAATTTAGATATGTTGTTTCTCTGTGACTAAATGAAGGTCAAGTTGTTGAGTTGTAGACATTTAAGTAGGGTAAAGTGATAATTAAAGCATTGTCCATGCAATAACTTGATAAGGTTTAGGTGAAAATCTTGTGATACTTTGAAGAAACAAGACAACAACTGTTTGAAAGTGGGTTTCTGGAAAATTATTGGTGTAACCACAAGATCCTATAATTTCATATTAAATAAGGTTATAAACTCATAAACATATTTTTTTTATTATTGACTTTATGATGTCTGCCTACCCATCCCTGCTGAACAAATGTGTGTGTACTTATATACTCTCTTAAATTCCAATTTTATGTCACTTATGATAAATAGGAGGTCAAGATTGATTTTGGCCTTTCCATTTCTGAACCCTACAAAAATTCATTTTTTTTTCACTTTATCTTGTTTTGGGGTCCAGATTTGCAAATATCATTTTCATGCAGGAAAATCCGGTTTGCTGTCAATCTGAAAGTCTCTTGTTGTTATTTTTTTTTTATTTGACTCTTCTTAATCAATTTCCCAGATATGAACATCATTATACTACTGTCTCTGTAATTTGACACAGTCATTAGTACTAACTTAAATTTATTGAATGGGTTTTGTTTAATTCCTATATAATAGTTTCTTTTTACTTTTTACAAAAATCAAGGTTTGAAATCCTTTAAGCAAAGTTGCTATAACCTGATTATTTCTACAGGATACATGCTGTCCATGAAAGTGGCATGAAACATCAACAAACAACCTGATAATATGGATATTGTTGTTGATATGAATAAAAAGTGATTTAGCCTATACTTAATGAGACACTAACCGAATGACACAATCAACCAGAATAACCCTACATTTTACAGACAGATATATTTAAAATGATTCAAAAGGATAAATTTCAAGACAATTTAGTCTTTATTCAACTCTACTAAAAGATGTAAAATTCTTATTGTGTGTTGAAAGTCTTTAATAAAAATAGATGAGGTATTTAAATATGCCTTTAAGTTTACAACCTTTAATAAAAATAAGATAAGATGATTTGAATTTACTAGTTTTTGTTGAGATGATACGTTAACAAAAACTTAGGTGATTAAAAATTCAATTCTTGTTGTGTATCTTTAAATTTATTTTCATTATTGAATTGATTTGACAGGGTGATGTCCAAGTGTGGACCAAGCCTATTCTACCAAAAGGAAGCAAAGCTGTAGCTGTCGTTTACACAGTACAAGGAGGCAACTTTATACGAGTCAAATATCCCCTAGAATTCTATGGATTAGATGCTGGAGAATACCATCTAACAGAAGTATTTGAAGGTCATGATTTAGGACAACACAATAAATCCTCTGTTATAAGTTTTACTGTAAATCCTACTGGTATATATATGTTTACAGCTAAACCTGTGAATTAATTGTATGTGTTTTCATGCTGTTCAGTATATTTAATCTCTGATATCAACATATTATTTATGCGAGTACAAAATTGAAATGTATAATTCATTTTTTACAAAAGTATTTTCAGACTCCTTATTTAACCGGATTTTCAAAGAAAATTTTGATATGTTGTTTCCTGTAACTAAATGAAGGTCAAGTTCAATTTTCACGACTTTAGCTTTTCTCGTTCTTGAATTTTGGACCCTTTTAGAAACCAGAAATTTACTTATTATGTGATTGAGTTATTTCCCTTCGAACAGAAATTAATAAGTTTATGTATAGCTGAGATGTATAGATAGTCTATCAATGATTGTATCTGTTCAATTGATTAGTCAGGAGTTGTCAAAAATTTCTTTATAACTATTTTTTTTTAAGTCATGTGTGTTTTGAAGGTAGATGCCACAGTTGTTATGTGGTATTTTATTTTTGTTGTTTGTGTTAATGTTAAATTTTTACTTGATCTTGTTTGGGTGTCCAGATTTGCAAATATCATTTTCATTAGATGATAATCTATTTTTATTAAAGGATATATTTCATTACATTACATTGTGAAGATAAAGTTGTTGACATTGATAGATAAGTTGCAGATAAGATATTAGTTTGTGACAAATGAAAGAAAAAATGTTTGGAACTATTAATTATATTTAATTATAATTTGAAAACATCATATCTAATTTTAGAGAACATTTTTTTAGTGGTGAAATCATATCTAATTTTAGATTTGCATTACTGGTTCATGGAAACAAGTTTGAGTTATTTCCATTTGAACAGAAATTGTTTTAATAAGTATTTCATCAAAAATTGAATGTTTGTGGTTCTTTGATAAGCTGATTCTAACAATGTACTTAGATTTTGGATATTGGACCATAATATGTAAATGTCCAATTTTAAAATTTTTAGTTCTTTGACCACATTTATTTTGTGTCACAAACCTATGCTGTATCAAATATTCAATCACAATCCAAATTTAGAGCTGTTTTAAGCTTAAATGTTGTGTTCGACCTCTGCAGGAAAATCTGGTTTGCTGTCACTCTGACAGCCTTTTGTTTCATATTACCATAGATTTTAACTTGATTGAGGAAATCAAAAGTTTTCTAAAAAAAAATCTCTAGAGCTTGTTGGTTATATACATTTATTTAATTTTTTATGACAGCTGTGCTTTAAATACAATCAAAAGAAATCATGTTGTTTTTGTACAATTAATCATTCCTGTCTACATTTTACTCAGTTTGCTACAATTTATACATTCCAAAATATATATTAAATCAAATGTTTGAGTAATGTCAATTAGGCATAACATATTGATGATAACTGTTATATTTGTTCATAAAATGTAAATGTTCATGTTGAAACAGACATATAGTTGTTAAGTTCTGTGTTTGTGTTAATTTCTGTGTCATTTTCTCTTGTGGAGAGTTGTCTCATTGGCAATCATACCACATCTTCTTATTTGTATATTAGTCTGACAAAAGTTTTGCCACTAACATCATGATTCATTTTTTGAACACACATGGGTTTATGTGTCAAACCACCGATTCACCCGCTCCAATTTCAAATAAATGTTAAAGTAGTCCTACTCTGACAGAAAATAGTACTTTGTTGTTGTTTGCTTAAACTAGCGAATGATGTTACATAAAGGTAACTTTTTCTGATTCAGAAATATATTTTGATCATTTTTCACCCATATTTACTTGGGCATTAATGAGTAATACAGTTTTAGGATAGGTGTGCTCAATAATATTCTTATGAAGATTTTCAATGATCCAACATGCTATTTTTAGTAGTAGGGGACTTCCTAAACACCATGTGTCACTACAGGACTTTCAACATTGGTTGAAAATTGGTATGTAGAAAGTTGATGCATGTATAGATTGAGATATACATGGTTTGCATGAAGTTAAACTTAAGTAAAATATTTAGAGTTGTGAAAATTGAAAAATTTTGTTGAATATACAGGGATTTTGAATTGGTGGTCTGATGCCTATAGCAAGAATTAAACTTAGTTTTGTCTCAACTCCTTGGTGAGATGTTTTTTTTTTTGCAGTGTTTGGTACCGGTATAGTTAGAGTGTTACTTGAGTAATGATAATTTGCTTGAATTTTTCTATTTGTTAGGACTCCTGGAGGAACAGTATGATTATGCATAATATTTTAAGCAGATAAACAGTATCTACATATTTTTTGGAATTGTATCTCAAGTTTATACACACATATATATATATGATTTATGTATTTGACCTAGTTTTTATTTATAATATATCTTTATTGATTTTTTTTTATTGTTGTTGTTGTTTTTAGCTTAGTTAAGCTGCTAAGTTCATTTGTCAACATTTTGATTTCCATAAGTAATTGGGCATCAGTATATAGTTTAAGTGGAGAACTCCTGTTGGTAAAATTATATTTTAGCAATTGGGTACATTTGTTTAATTTCTAATTGAAAGTACATAAAATCATGTTATGGCAAGGAAATGGGTCTACTTTGAGATAGTGTGTTAGTATGTTTTCTTTGTGAGGATATACTATTGCAGATCACTTATGTTCTGTTAAGTACGAAAACGAAACATTGTGTAAGTGGCATTCCGTCTTTTCAGCCTGGTCATAGGGTCAAAAATTTGATGGTGACCCTTTCTTCTCATGACAGAAGGTTATATATCTTGCACAAAACATTGTGTAATAATTATGTACTTCTTACACAAAAGTCCCTGTCACGTTTGATGATCTAAGAACAGCATAATGACATATATTGTTCCAATTGTCATCACCACTATCCCATCGTCATTTTCCTCGATTGTGACATCACTGAACATGACTGGTAATTGAATTTATACTTACCATGAGAAACACTGCGAGTGACACTAGTTAAGCTTACCTTTCCAGTGCACCTTAGATCACCCCCATTGACACAAGTAGAGCTGACCTTTCTGGTGCACCTTAGATCACCCCTCATTGACACTAGTGGAGCTTACCTTTCTGGTGCACCTTAGATCACCCCCCATTGACACTAGTGGAGCTTACCTTTCCAGTGCACCTTAGATCACCCCCATTGACACTAGTGCTTACCTTTTTGGTGCACCTTAGATCACCCCCAATTGACACTAGTGGAGCTTACCTTTCTGGTGCACCTTAGATCACCCATCATTGACACTAGTGGAGCTTACCTTTCTGGTGCACCTTAGATCACCCGTCATTGACACTAGTGGAGCTTACCTTTCTTGTGCACCTTAGATCACCCCCATTGACACTAGTGGAGCTTACCTTTCCGGTGCACCTTAGATCACCCCCATTGACACTAGTGCTTACCTTTTTGGTGCACCTTAGATCACCCCAAATTGACACTTGTGGAGCTTACCTTTCTGGTGCACCTTAGATCACCCGTCATTGACACTAGTGGAGCTTACCTTTCTGGTGCACCTTAGATCACTCTTCATTGACACTAGTAGAGCTTACCTTTCTGGTGCACCTTAAATCACCCCATTGTTAATGGGGTTCATGTTGTTTAGTCTGTAGGTATGTATTGTTTTGTGATCTTTTTTTACTTCGTCGTTTCTAACCATGGCATTGTCAGGTTCTCTCTACTTGTGAGTTTTGAATGTCCCCTTGGAAACTAATGCCTTTTTTTATCAGTCAATTTACACTAAGTTAAACTAAATGCAACATAAATGATCTTTTAAAATTGAATTATTTATTAAAAGTCTTCCAAAATCAATTTTCTGGTTAATTGATCAAAACCAATAAGACTTAGAAAAACCAATTCCCCTCACTAAAAGCACTTACAAAATTGCTGGCATTTTCTAAAAGCAAGCCCAAGGCACTAAATTTGCTTATATAGAAATTCTTCCTTCTCACTGTTTTTAAAAGCAAGTTAGAAAATTATGTTTACATATGACCAGATTCTCAACCTACAGAAACTTAATAACTGGCAAAAATTGACTGAAGTAAATAAAAAAAAAAGATCAATGAAAATTCTAACATTTGTCTAGCCTGCAGAGATAGTTGCTACAGATTGCAATCAGGCAGCAGCAGTGTAAACTTTTTGTATGAAACTTTACATTACAGGAGGTAGAAGACCTGGATGCTTCATACAGTACCTTGTATGCAGATGCCTGTAAGCTGTAGGTCAACTATTATTGGTTTATTTTATGATTGTAAGGTGTAGATGTCTGTCTAATGGGTTTCATCTGACTGACTCTCATTTTCATGGTTTTTAGTGTTTTAATCAGTTCCTCAGATACTACAAAAAATAGGTCAATTATATTTGGTGTATGTTATGATTGTAAGGTGTGGAAGTCTGTCTGGCAGGGTTCATATGACAGACTCATATCATGGTTAATTGGTCAATGTTATGTTTCCACATTGAGTCTCATTTTTATGGATAAGTTTTCATGGTATGGTCTGTTTTTAGATACAATTCGCTTAAAGGCAACATTCCCCATTTCCATTCTCAATTTTATTAACTATATTTAGTAATTAGTATATGAAATTACTATATGGTGTAAATGTCTAGCAAGTTCTAGTGACCTTGACCTTATTATGTATGGTTCAAAGTCAGTGTTTAAGTCTGTTTCTCAGATACTATAAGCAATATTTGCCACATGATGATTTTAGGCAACCACCAATCAATCAATCAATTATACAATATTTTTGGGGGGAATACTTCATAAAATCTGCAACTTGCCCAAAAAATTAACAAAACAAATGTATATTTTATTTATTTTAAGTAGGACCCCTTTGAGGGTTAAAGTTAATAAAATGGATCTATACATAAAAGACAAAACAGGAAGGAACACAGCTGAATATAACAAGGGTTTCATTATACATAACGATCACTTTGTGTTTTACCAAAATCTATTAATGCATCAAATATATGGTGAAAACTTCATTTAAATGAAAGCATAAATCATATAAGCTACATCAAAATCTGAAAGAATGCACACAATGTTTTAAAATAGAAACTTTTCATTATTTTAAATTCATTAGTTATCTTCATTGGCTTTTCAACTTATAGTAAAAATTCAAAATAGATTAAGGGATGTTCTAGACAAAAAGGAATATATGGGTTTTTAAAAGCACTTTTAAATGCCTCACACCCTGAATTATTTACCTGAAACCTAATGCTAAAATATGTTCCGGACAACCCAATGAAATACATCTGCAATATAATTGACCCCAAAGGTGGCAAAATAACTTATTTGGAATAGGCCTAATTTCAAACCTTTCACAGATTTTTTTATTAGCAAAGAAGGTTACTGCAACCAAGTTTGTTGTTTACAAATGTGTAACTTTAAAAAATTCCTAGTGCAACAAATGCCCAATCCTTTGAAAAAAGCAGATATGCTTTAAATTCAATTTCAGAGATAAAATTTTAACATGAGAAGGCTACCTTCTTAGGAAGGTAGACAAAATCATCAAAAACTTCACTCCATATCATTAACCGAATAAGATCCAAGAATTACAAATAATCAATTTTAAAACAAAAAATGATAATATTGCTAAAATTGAATTTATACATTAAAATCCTATCTGATACACTTAACAAATAGTATAAAATTTAAATATTAATAAATTTTAGGTAAAAACAATAACTGCCCTAGTGAATATAGTAACGATATGTCATCAAATGACAGAAATAAAATTGTGATAAGAAAAATATGTGGTCATTAAATGACAAATATGAAAATTTATAATTAAAATTTTTTGAAATCTAATGTCATGATATGCTCATTTTATTTGATTCTTATTTCATTAGAATTATTTCTACATAGCTAGCCTTCACCTTTTGATAATGGATTAAAATATTGTAATATGAACAGAATTGAAAAAAAACATTTATATATAATTTTAAAAGCCAATTTTCCAGGATATTGAGAATAGTATCATTAAATCTTAAGTTTTAAAGATTGTTTTAGAACAGAGATATAAAACATTTTGAAAATTTGTTAGCATTTTAAAGATATGGATAATAATATTACTGGGAATTATTCTCTGTACTTTGAAGGCCTTGTTTGTAATCCCAGAAATGTTGCTCCAAACAGTGAAAGTTAAGAGCAAAGATGGGTTAAATAAATGTATGAGATATGAGGTTTATTTCACTCAAGCATGGCACTTTTTACAATAAGGAAAGCTTTCAGCACTTCATGAATGACTATTACACCTAAGATAACTTTATACACGATTCAACTTTGAAGAGACATAATATTTACAGTGAATATATACATGCGCTTATATAAAATATATGTTTGATTATAGCAATACTGGTTGAGCTTTTAAGAAATAAAGAAAAATAATATTATTCACTCAAAACATTAACTGAACTTGTCAGTCTGTATAGTTAACATATTGACCCTCCCAAATAAAAGGATAAATGTCAACAGGACAGCAACCTTACAATACACAATAAAAGTTAAACAGTCAGTCATTATCTGTCACTAAATTACACTCAGTATACATGTATATAAACCATTGATATAACATACTATCAATAATCTAATGACAAAACTCAGTAAACAAATATTTCATTAATTGTTTTCTAAGACATAATAAAATCAAAATCACTAATGCTTAAAACGTAGAGTTTTTAATAGAGTTATCAAACTTAACTAATTACTTTTTGTAGTCACTAATGCAAAAAATGTTTATTGCGTAATGCCAATTTAATATGTAATGGCAAGATCACTAGTAAATAAAACCTGATAGCATTATATATCACTGAAATTATGTATTAATGATATGTAAGGCACATGCTAACATATTGCTTCATATATTCTTATTTAGTTCAGATTTGATTTAAGTATGATATAAGTGTGACAAAATCCTTAATATTAATTTACACACTTTATCACTTGAAAATTAACTGATATATAAGTACTACTTTTACATTTGATTTGCATGAAAATTTAAAAAGTTAACAGACTTTATAAACTCTTTTAAAAATTTCAACATTATAATCTAACATCTCAATAAATTTAGTACAAATGAATATTTACATTTCAACATAACAATCATTAACGTGTTGCATAGACAAAATATTTAATTTGCAAAATTATTAGGTTGCCATGATATAGTTGCACAATACTTGTTGTATAATAACATTTATTTTATAGTGAGAAATTTTTTACCAGGGGTTGGTTTTTCGCTTTTTCAGAATTTGATTTAAATCAAGAAAATATTCCCATAGGTCAATTTAATCATATTCCCATAGGTCAATTTAATCTTTAAGGAAATAAGTATAATCAGAAACAAGAAAAACAAGTTATAATAAAATTGTGTAAATAGCTTCCCACCATTTAGCTCTAGAAATGGTGAATATAAACTCTCAAGAAAAATCACTTCACAGAATTAGAAAATTGGTGCTACAAGAGAATACACATCATAAATTATGTAGAGTTGACACAACAATAAATACCAAAATCTACTCTTTTGCTTTTCAGTACAGGGTGGTCTTTATATAGATTTAGAAAGACAAATACACACAGATGTAATAATCCCCAAATACTGTATTACACAGCAATAAAATATGGTTATATAACAAAGGAATTTAATGGAATAAGTCTATATGCATTGTATATAATATGAGTAAAATGAATGGGTGTATATATACTTGTAAAAATCCTGGCACATTCGGTGAATCTAATAAAACTTGTCAAAAATATAATATCATTCAAGTATACACAAACATTACTGACACACATATCACAACTATAAATATATATTTTTGACAATGTTGCCTAGCGACCTAACAAAATGTTTAAATGTTCTTGGTTTATACATGTACCAGTATATCATAAAGTCTTCATAAATTTGTGTTGCATCAAACTGTTGCTTAAACTATTAGGCTGCCATGATAAAGTTGCATAATTCAGAAATTTCAATCAACTAAAAATTGAAAATTATAGCTTGGGGAAAATGACAGAACGTTTAATTTCATATCCTATTAATTTTTTATTGACCAGACTTGCACTTTTAAAAAAAAATATCATTAAATGAATTGAACAAAATCAAATCAAAATTCATGAGAACAAAAATATGTCATTGTAACAAATGTGTGAAAAATATAGGAAATATAGGTACAATACTGGTCTGTTGGAAAGGTTACTCAAATCTACAATTTTGTGTTGTAGATATACATATGTATTCGATCAAATCTGAAAGTTTGTGATGTAGATCTCCCTAAAAAAAACACCAAAATTTTTTACTGCCATAAATATATATCAATAAGGTTTAAATAGAGTAAGATCAATAAAAGAAAAAGCAAGTCTGTCTGAGTAAAGATATTTTAAAGACAATACAACAGATATCACAGCTGAAAGTGTATTAAAGCTACAGAATATTTTGCATATAAAAGAAACAAAGAATGCTGAAAACGTTGAGCATCATGTATTACCATGTCAAATCACTAATACTGAGATAGGACTCTTCATGTAATACCAACAATCATTTATTGTAATAATATCACAATTAAAACACCAATATCTTGGCGTAACCAATGTCATACTGCTAACAAAAGCTAACCACTAAAAACTTGGCGTAACCATATTATTAAAATTGGTGTTATCAGTCATACCATTTTAAACCAACAATACCTTTGTATGACTAAACCAACATATACATCTATGGTACGGGTGAAACACTAGGATTCTTGGTCTACCTTGCAAAACAAAGAAGAGAATCTATTGGGACAGTCAAGTAAAGCTTTCTACATTTATTTGTATAAGAATCTAACAATTTTATTAATGGTATAAGGGTATAAGATTCAATGTTGCTTTCTGTTGTTGTAAATATATACCGTAGAAAGGCTTGTATAGTTCGCACTGGTACATAGTCCGCACCCCCTTCTCCCCACGAAATTTTAGGTAAAAAAACTTTTTGTAACTGTTAGAAAAGGTCTAATGAAACTCCGGTAATTTCAAATCCTGTGCGGTTGTTTGCTGTATTTTCTTGGAAAAACCTGTTTTCCATCATCAAACAGAAGCTGAAACTGCTTGTAAATGATTCTAGAACGATTCATGATTGTTAAAATAAGTTTAATTCACTTAAAAAACAATTTAGAAACTTGTGTATGTTTAAACAGGAAGTATAAAAAGCACGTGTAAAAGAAGAAACTAACCGGTGTGAGTCTAAATCTGTACATAACAGATATCACTATAATACGACTTTGAAAGTAAAACAGTTCCATCCTTTTGTAAAACAGTCTTTAATATATCTATCACATTAATGTTTGAAGGGCCTTAAGCTAATACAAACCATATTAGTCAGTATGAAACACCAAAACGAAACGAACAATAACCGATTACGTTTTGTAGTTTACAAATTCTAAGCTGGTTTACGGTTGTCTTTTTCACTATGTTTGTATCGTTTCAATCAAGCAGATACCAGTTTATTTCAACCAATGCATTGAAAAGAAACGAGAAATTTGTAATGAAAGGTTTAGTTTTTATATTTATCAGTATTAATTTGATATTGAATAGAAATAACTTATTAATATGGATGAGTTAAAATTATTAGTTTGAAAAATGATAAGAGCGCCCTCTACAATATAAATAACAAAGATGGCGGAAAGTAAACAAACCACCTCGCCCGCGAAATTGAAACTTTTCTCTTATTTCTTGCTTATTGCACTCTATAGTCCGCACCCCGTCTGGAAGGTCCAATTTTGGAGAATAAAACCGCTGACTATACAAGCCTTTCTACGGTAGTGATGACCAACACTGCTGATACAACCTCTGAATTACTTGACAAAAAACTACCTTTGAATTACCTGAAAAAAACTACCTTTGAATTACCTGACTAAAAACTGTTTGGGTATGAAATTTCTTTACCAAAAAAAACTCTGATCAAGACCTTTAAAGGGTTTCCAATGATTACATGGATTTAAGATTTTTCTTTTCATTAATTTTCATCCATAAGTATCAGACCTAAGTCTTGTTTATATCAAATTATTGTTTAGGGTTTTTCTATGAAACTTTAGTTCAATAACATTAACGGTATCAGTTTTTCAAAATGACAAATATGATTAGGACATGCTATAAAACTTTGATTATAACGACAAATGTGATTATGGCATGGTCTTAACCTTTGTGTTGCATACTTACATATACATCCTAAAAAAACAATAACATGCCAATATAGATCTTGAACAATATTGAAACTAACAAACTACAGCCTAAAATATAATAAACTGCACAGAGACAGAACATCTAAATACTGAACTATCATCTACAATTACCAGACAACATAAATTTGCACCATCACTGAAAATTAAAACACCTAATAAACTTACATAATAAGTAACTAGTTAAAAGGTAAATGATATTTAACCATACATAAGTTTATCAGTACAGTATGCTGGGTAATAAATAAATCTACAACCTTGCAGTAGTATGATTACAATTTTTTTTTTACAAAAACTATAAATTTCAAAATTCAAAACATTTTACTAATTACTGAAATGCAATTTATTTTTTGATCATAAAAACACATGTAAAAATTGTTTCCATAGCAACTTTAAAGTATTAACTAAACTATTTCAGTTGTTATTGACAGTTTTTGCAACGAAAACTTGTTCATTAATTCTGCTTAACATACATTCTTTAAGACACGTATTGGCCTATATTTGAATATATATACATTCAAAATTCTTGTGCTAAAATTTTATGATTGTTATTTTTTGTTAATCTATAGTTTCATTGGAAGTTGTTAATGTATAATTATCTTTAATTTTTTATGTAAGGTCTTTATATATTATCTTTTCTTCTAATATCAATATGAAAAGATAACGGGTAGAGACAATTAAGATAATTTCCTGAATATATTGAGGTAACAGTTTACTGTGATCCAACAATTGAAGCATGATTCAGTTTACCTTTAAGTTGTATGGTATTGGCAACAAATCAATGAAAATTTGCATACTAGCAAATATTTTGTTTTTAATAAAAGAATCTTTTTTTCAACAGTCTGAACTGTACAGCTACATGATTTCTATTAGTGAACATCACAGACAACTTTAGCAAACATTTAAAATGACTGATAATAATGTTAAATACAAAGTTTATCTAGCACCAAATTCAACCTGACACATGATTCGTCAAATGCTTAACTTACTGAATTAAAAAGCCATCGTTTTAAGTTTATTCCTATTTATCAAGAAATTTGAGATGACAGTGACATATTTTAGGTCTTTTTGATATTCAAACTGAGACAATGAGAGTCAACTATTTATACAAGGAAATTATGCAAATAAGAAATTATACAAATCATTGATGTGACACGGATTAAAATGTTGGTATGATTTAAGTCCCTTTAATAAGAAATGAATTGAGTAAATATTCAGTATATCTGTTTAGCAGGGCTCTCCTGATGTATTGAATATATAGAGATATGGAATGAATTTCAACGAGACAACTATCCACCAGAGATCAAAGGATAAAGATTTAAAAACTATGAAGCACTTTATGGCCTTCAACGATGAGCAAAACCCTTCCCGTAAAGTAACCATGTTGAAAACAATCTTTATACATATTTGTTTAGGGGCCAGCTGAAGGACGCCTCCGGGTGCGGGAGTTTCTCGCTGCATTGAAGACCCATTGGTGGTCTTCGGCTGTTGTCTGCTCTATGGTCGGGTTGTTGTCTCTTTGACACATTCCCCATTTCCATTCTCAATTTTATTACATATCTCTGATGGTAACAGTATAGGGTAATTACTGTTTTCTATTAAGGTAACATATGCTTTTTTAGTGCAACTACAATATGAAAGATAACTTTGTACAAAGAATTTTACTTACTATTAAATTTAGTCAGATATATATAAATATATAAATACAATTCAATAAAAAATTCAAAACCAATACCACTACTTTTTAATGACCATTTAAATCTGTGCTTAAGGCTCTTCAAGAAAGACTTATTTGGGGTCTTAAAATGCAAATATTTAAAAATAAATTTAAAATACATTCATTAAAACTAACCAATAAATATATGCCAGAGTGGGGTTCAGAAAAAAAATCTTTAAACATTTTTTCTTTCTGAAAAACATATTTAAAATTTTATAAAATTGTTAATGTTTCACACAACAAAAATATCAATAAAACAGCTTAAAACACAGAAGTTTATCCGTTACTTGATAATCAATAATTAACATGTATATACACACTAAAATAAGAGTAATTAATCCAATTAAAATACAACATATTACTATATTGCTATGAGCAGTCTGATTTAGAAGACAGATCAGAATCACCGAGTTTTGACGCCATTCCTGAATCTAAATTGCTCTCTAAATCATTCTTCTTTGCCGTCTCTTCCTCATGTTCTGACGGCAGTCGTTGTATACTACACACAGAATCCTCATCAACACCTGTCACTGTATGATTATACTGTTCTAATCTACTGTCTATTTGATTTGTAATATCACTCGCTTGTGGTATGTCTGTGACTGAAATTACATTAAAAAAATATTTGAAAGAGTATTACAATTGTACACTACATGGAGGTTAAGTCAAATGTAGAGCCCTAAAAGTTATAGGTATACTAATAGGAACACTTCATTAAATCAAATTAAGGGCTTGTTACCGAGCACATATATACTGTGGATTCACTTATTTTCGTGGGTACCAATTTTCGTGGATTGAGGAAAAACTTGCATTTTCATGGATATTTGATTTCGTGGTTTTGCCATAGTCTGTAAAATTCCTAAACAAAATTTGTAATTCGTTGGACATTTGAATTCATGGTTCCAGGGTAACCACGAAATCCACGAAAATTGGTATCCAACGAATAATAATAAATCCACAGTATACAGTATATATGAATGAATTAATTAAGAAGTAATCTAAGGATATTAACATTGAAAATAAATAAATAAAACTCCTCCCTATAAGGTGTATAAATATCAAGAGAATAATAACTGTTTGTTTTTTTCAATACATACGTATTACATGAATTTGTAGCCCCTGCAATGAAATGTTCTTATTTCAAAACAAGTACTAATAATTCTTGACACTGAGATAGTAACCTTTTCTGACTAGACGTCCACCAAGTAAACTGACCACTGACATACCAATCAGGGTAAGTTTTACATACAATACATGCAACCTCAAGAACAGATTTCCTTTCCTTTTCATATGCAGCATGTATAAACCTGCATATTACTACAATACTTACTGTATCTTTATCTTTTAAATTGATTTTTTTATTGCTTATATAATTATTGATGAATTACATGATATTTTAATGTAATCCAAGACTATATTTGTAGAACTTTAAACATAAATTCTCACAATGGAACTTACTAAATTTCTTGTAGGTAGGAACACATATACAATATATGTCTAAATTTTCATAAAAATAACAAAAGTTGATTCTGGGGCTTGAATAACTAAACTATCTGCCATAAATATCAACATAAAAAGTTGATCTGGAAAACATAAAAAATTTTCTTTGGAATTCTAAGAGAATATCCAATCCATTTCATATTCAAAAGTTTAAATTGTTAAGTTCTAGTATAAGATATGGTTAATGTTTATGTGTCAACTGTATGACAGCACAAAAGTGTTAGGGTAACAGATAAACTTTAACATTTCTGAGTTTTTCATGCATAACATCAGGTTATTTCAGAACAAGATCTAGATTTAACTTGGCTATTCAGTCTATTGTGAATAGTATCAAATAGAGAAACAGACATTAACACAAGAACTCAACACTGGCCTTTGAACAATAAAAGTGAGGTCAAGGTTAGATAAATCCTGCCAGACTGACATGTACATCTTTCAATCATTCCATACACCAACAAGTGACTTAGTGCTAATAGTATCTGAGAATCAGACCTTATCAAGAAATCTTAACCTTGATGACTGATCAATGAAATGAGGTCAAGATCAGGCAAACCATGTCTGATAGACATGTAGACCTTGCAAGGATACCATATACCAAATATAGTTATCTTATTTGAATAAGTGAGATATTCAGGATATTTTGTTTTAAGCAGCAGCTAAACTATGAAAATGAGGTCAAGGACAATCATGACAATGGACATATGACAGACAGAAACTTTGTAACATAAGGCATATGTGTATACAAGGTATGACACATCCAGGTATTCTACCTTCTGAAAAATAAAGCTTTATACAAATAGTTTATGCCATTGCCAGATTAGCATCCCTGTCTCATATTCTGTGACTTCAACAATGAGCAAACCTATACTACTATATAAGCTATAAAAGGCAACAGGATAACAAAATGTGAAATAATTCAAATGAAAAAAAAAACGACAGCCTGACTATTAAGTTGGGTACTTACCATGAGATAGATTATGACAATCATTATAGTCTCTGACATCACTCATGTGTGGTGGTTCTAACATTGTAGTACTAGGATTGGACTCAGCAGTCACTAGAAAGAAGGATAGAAGATTGGTGTTAGTAAGAATGGAAGGAAAAAGATCACAGAAAATAAGTTTTATTGTTTTAACAGTAAAAGGTAGTCCATTCCTATTTGTAAATACCTTAAGTACCAAGGCTTTGTGACCTCAAATAAGTTGACCTGCCTCAACAACTTTCACCCTGACTTATCACGTCCTCTTCCAGTTTGCTGGTGAGGCAATGAAAAACTATTGTTTCTATTATAATAAAATGCTTCGCTGGGGCGCAGCTTGATACGACCGCAGAGGTCGAACCCTGAACAGTTGGGGCAAGTATGGACACAACATTCAAGCTTGATACAGCTCTGAATTTGGATTGTTATTAAATATTTGACACAGCATAGGTTTCTGACACAGAAAGAATGTGGTCTAAGAACTTGAATTTTTTTTAATTTACCTATTATGGTCCAATGTCCAAAATCAAAATACATGGTTAGATTCAGCATATCAAAGAACCCCATATATTCAATTTTTGTTAAAATCAAACAGTTTAATTTTGGACCCCAACTTGGACAAACTTGAAAACTGGGCCAATAATCAAAAATTTAAACACATGTTTAGATTCAGCATATCAAAGAACCCCAAGAATTCAATTTTTGCTAAAATCAAACTAAGATTATATATAATTAATTTTGGACCCTTTGGACCTTAATGTAGACCAATTCAAAAACAGGACTTAAAATTAAAAATCTAAATACACAGTTAAATTTGGAATATCAAAGAACCCCAATAATTCAATTTTTGATGAAATCAAACAAAGTTTAATTTTGGACCCTTTTGACCTCAATATGAACCAATTTGATAGCGGGGCCCACAAATAAAAAATCTAAATTCATGGTTAGATTCAGCATATCAAAGAACCCCATATATTCAATTTTTGTTGAAATCAAACAATTTTAATTTTGGACCACAATTTGGACCAACTTGAAAACTAGGCCCATAATCAAAAATCTAAACACATGTTTAGATTTAGCATATCAAAGAACCCCAAGAATTCATTTTTTGTTAAAATCAAACTAAGTTTAATTTTGGACCCTTTGGACCTCAATGAAGACCAATTTAAAAAACAGGACCCAAAATTAAAAATCTAAATACACGGTTAGATTTGGCATATCAAAGAACCCCAATAATTCAATTTTTGATGAAATCAAACAAAGTTTAATTTTGGACCCTTTTGACCTCAATATGAACCAATTTGATAACGGGGTCCACAAATAAAAAATCTAAATACATGGTTAGATTCAGCATATCAAAGAACCCCATTTATTCAATTTTTGTTGAAATCAAACAAAGTTTAATTTTGGACCCCAATTTGGACCAACTTGAAATCTGGGCCAAAAACCAAAAATCTAAATACATGTTTAGATTCAGCATATCAAAGAACCTCATATATTCAATTTTTGCTAAAATCAAACAAAGTTTTATTTTGGACCCTTTGGACCTTAATGTAGACCAATTTGAAAACTGGACCCAAAATTAAAAATCTAAATACACTGTTAGATTCGGCATAACAAATAAATAAATGTGATCAAAGATTTTACAAATCTAATGCGCCATACTGTGCAATTAAAGATTACTTCTTGAAATTTTCAATATTTGAAATTTGAAAAAAAAAAAATATTTGAAGAATAATTCTTTTTAATTTCTGAAATCTGAAATGAGAAAAAATTGACCCCCCACAATTTCTTTTTATCCCCCCCCCCCCCTTTTTTTCCCCCAAAAAATTCTTTCCCTCAAGATATGGTCATAATCTCAATTCAAATTTCCAATGGAGTTGGCAACCATAATTACCCATTTAAATTTACCATAGTGCTAACTTAATCTATTTTATAATAGAATTAAAAATATAGTGTCAAATCTTTCATATGGATTTTTTTGTAAAAAAAAAAAGATGCAACATTTGCAGATATTTTTACTGGTCTTCCTTTATAAATATGCATTTCTTTAAACATAATTTAAAAGCAGTGTAAGGGAAGTAACCAAAACGTTGTATTTGGATTACCTCCCTTACACTGTTTTAAATTATCTTGATTGTTCATTAACCATTACTTTATACATAATTTAAAAGCAGTGTAAGGGAGATAATTTCAATGATGTATTTGATTTATCTCCCTTACACTGCTTTAAATTATGTTTTGTACTAAAGTATTTGTCCATTAACCAGGACAACCTTGTTTTTCCCCCTTTTTTGCCCCTAATTCCTAAACGGTTTGAGCCATAACCCCCCAAAGCAAATCCTAACCATCCCTTTGTGGTATGGAAACTTGTAGTATAATTTCAGAGAGATCCATATACCGTTCCACAGTTATTGTCTGGAAACTAGAAAATGCTTATTTTTGGCCCCTTTTTGGCCCCTAATTCCTTAACTGTTGGTACCATAACCCCCAAAATCAATCCCAACCTTCCTTTTGTGGTATTTAACCTTATGGTCAAATTTCAAAAAGATCCATTCACTTAAACTAAAGTTAGAGTGCGAAAACCAATGTGTCTTCGGACGACGACGACGACGACGACGACGACGCCAACGTCATACCAATATACGACCACAAAATTTTTTTGCGGTCGTATAAAAACACACAACTACATGTGAATCTATTTTCAAAATCTAAATCATATTGATTGTGTTTAACATCAGCTGCTTGAACAAAATATGAAGCCTTTTATTAACTCTCCCGCAGTGCTCACTCAAAAAAAAAACACTTCATATTGTGAATCTTAACTGATATTATACAGTATCTGAGTATGAATTTGCAGAAAAAACTGATAATCAGTAAATCTTCCATCAATCAATATAAATTTCTAATTGGATATAACCAAAAAAACACCCTTTCAACTCTAAAACAAAAAAAGTTATGTAGGACATTCTAAAAGTACAGAATTCACCGATAAAATCATATTTATAATATCTTTTTGTTTTCTTATGTTGTAGGCCTAGGGTAACTTTCAAATTATTATCCCACATCTCCTTTTAATGACCTACTATGATCATATGACCTAGATATACATAATAACAATGAATAACATCCTTGTTCAGGATACTCATACATGTAATATAAGATTTAACCTTAAATTTTAGAATTTGAGCTCACTTGTCATGCATGTGCTTGTTAAAAATATTAAAAAGAAATTTTTGGTAATTTAGAATTGAGGAACATGACTGGATGAAGAGATAAGTAATTTTTTTCAAGAATTGCCTAGAAACGTGTTACAAGTGCGAAAATTTTCTTACAGAACTTGATAGTACCTTACTGCTGTTTATGGTTGTATCTGTTAATACAAAATATTTACAAACTATGGGAAGTACTTAATATATATTTACAAAAAAAAAACATTCATCAAATGTTAAAACATGATGTCATTTGAAAAAATTGTAAAATGTTCTGAAATTCATTTTATTGTATTGATTTAGCATCCAGAAACAGCTTTTCTGTAAAAAAGTTTATTTTTAGTCACTTTGACCTTGACCTTAGTAATAAAGACCTCAACATCAGTAGTTATTTTACTCTCACTATATGTGACTTTATAATATCCAAGTAACACATGAGTAAGGTTACAATCTAATATTAAGTATTGAGTAAGCATCCGGAAACAAAAATGACTGACAAACTGGTTAAAACCTACATCATCAAACTAAATCTTCTTTTACCAGACCAAAAGTTAATTATAGCATCATAATGATAGAGAAATTGTCCTCAAAATTGATGGTCATTGCAAATTGTTTGTGTAAATAATTTTTATCTTCTTTTTCTTAGGAAAATAGAAAGTGGAAGCATACTGTAATACTGGACATTTCAAAAGGTCACACCCTTCATCAGTTTTCGTCATTAGTTAACTATTAGCATCAGAGAAACTATTGTCTACACTGTTGACAAATACATGTACGTCTAAAGTTTCATCAAGTAATTACAGGGGTATACATGACCATTTCTACATCATTAAAACCATCTGATAAAAGTTATATACCTTCTTCTTGTATTTCTTTACCAGTTTCTTCTGGAATAGAACTATAGGGAGAAGTGCTGTTAATATTATCTACTGATGATTCTGAATCTAAAAAATTAATGAGATTTATTTTTTTATTTCTTTAAATGTTTATTATTAAACATGTACAACAATTTTTTTGTTTTTTGTTTTTCGCATTCAATTTTATTGATTTTTCAATCATAACACAACTCCTCAATGGTTTGCTTATCATGCTTGCCTCAATTGCAGGAGGTCATGGTTTTAACCCCTCCCTCAGTCAATCAAAGACTGGAAAATTTGTATTTTCTGCATCTTCACTATGCATGTAACGTTAGTCTTTGGCCAATGACCTCCTAATCTATAGGAGTCTTCTTCACATTAATAAAAATTTTATTTAGAGCTAAAAATTTGCTGTTAGTATTCTTATACACTGTGGATTCATTATTATTCATTGGATACCAATTTTCATGGATGTCATGAGTGGAGGCTAATTTAACGAATTTAAATATTCAACGAATTACAAATGTTCTATTAAGTTGTATACAGAGTTTGGCAAAACAACGAAATCAAATATACACAAAAGTTTTCCTCAATCCACGAAAATTGGTAATCATGAAAACAAATTAATCCACAGTACATATTCACAAGTCTGTATATATGTTGTCTATGAATAACATTACTTAAGGTTTAATAAATCAACCATTAAATATTATATGTAGACCTTACTTCCATGGTTTGAAAAATGCCATTGCAATCTATAATATTTTTTTACTTTATCCAATCAATTTGGCTTACCTTTACTTAATGAACGTTTAAATTCTGCTATATTGGGAAGTTCAGTGTTCATGACTGGACTAGATGATTGTATATTATCAAAGTCTGGCAGTGGAATACAAGCACCGCCCCCATTGTCCAAATATGGGTAACGTGTAGGTGAAGGCAATAACTGACTTGTAGGACTGTGAACTGGTGAATTTCCTATATTAATACACATATCTCCATCCTCCTCGCATGAGACCTGCTGAGGAACAGATTCAGAACGATTTAATCCTTGACGGTTAATAATAAATTCACCATGAGGAAATACTTGTCTATCAGGCACAGAGTTTGCATGATTTACACATTGAGAGTTTGAATTTAATCTTTCTTCTTGTATTAAAGGACTACTTTCTGAAGCAGTACTATTTATTCTGTCTGTCACAGTAATGTTTGACAGTTGTCTATTTATAGACACAGTACTACCTGAGTTAAATCTCACACTTGGACATTCACTGTCAACCCTTGCTAAGTTGTTATTTTCAGGTTTATCCGTCACACTAACATGACTAATATTTCGTTCTATGACATCCATATGTCTTATATTATTTATATTATCCTGCTGTTCTGGACCTAAATCATTGAAATTTACATTTCTGTTCAAAGGTTGCATTTCCTCTTCATGATTAACTACTACTGAAAAAAATTATTATAAACTGTTAACACAGATATATAGCTAGCTTGTGCTATCTAATCACAAACTTTAACAACTTCTGACATCATAGATACTAGTAACACTTAACCTTAGTCTTCCTATATATAGCTACAGTGACTATCTTTGCATGCAGACAAGACTAATTAAGCAGAACATCATATCCCAGATTCAAACATATAAATTTTTGAATGTTGTCATTGTCTCTAAATCTAAGTATTTTTTTATGTTGATCTAGGCTTAAGTCCCCTCATTTTGGAGATAATAATTTCATAATTTGCAAAAATAGTAATATTATCCTGTGAGAGCATTTAATGGCTGGCTAATGTAAACTTAAAATAGAGGCTCCATGGAGCCTATATCAATCACAAGACTTTTTTTTGCATAAAATTGACACAATGCAATAAGAACATTTTTATTAGTTTTTGGCACAAAAAAAAAACCCAAATGAGTAAAAAACATCATTCAAGGGCAATAACTCCTATAAAGTGTCATCTGATAATTTCTGTCATATTGACTTATTTGTAGATTTTATTTTGCTGATCATTATGTTACTACACTGTTTCTCTTTAAAATAACACAAACTGTGAACAAACTTTTGTTCAAAAGCAATAAGTTCTCTAAATAGTTGATGGAAGATTTTGGCCATGCTGACTTGTCTGGATTTTGTCCTACTATAAATTTTGCATACATACAATCAAAGTGCTGGTGAGAACTGAAGGGTAAAGATAGCTTTCATTTTTCAATGTGAACTTAAAATTTAGCAAGAACACATTCTTTTGAATTGGAGTTATCTTCCTTTATTTGTTGAAGATATAATTGTTAAAAAAAAGCTCATATGAACCTTTGGGTCAAGTGAGCTAAAAACACTATAACCACTCTTTTCTTTTTTTTGAGCAAATCATTTTTAACACTTGATGCAAATCCCTCATTTCTACAGTAACTTGCCTGTACAAGTCATTAAATTAAAGTTGTTTAACATATGTGTTTAAAGCATTTACTTATTATATTAGTTAAAATTGCTGAATAATATATTGTACACATTATATTTTCAAAAGTATAATAATAGAAAATTATGTAGGTGTATGGTTCAAAAATTGTAATTTGCATTTTACTGATGGTTTTGTAAACACATCAGCTATTTAAATTTCATTTATAATTTCATGACTTTTATAATACCTTCAGGTGAAAAGCAATGAAGCATGAACTATTTACATGATGAATTTTATTAGATAAAAGAACCATATACATTAATGATTAAAATATCCAATTCATAATGGCGATAAACTTATCAGTCAAGAAGTATTGAAGTGTGACTTACTCAATGGATGAATAACTTTGCATGACCTAATGTAAGCAATGTTAGGAAATTAATTATCTGTGTTACCGTACAATGGTTTAAATACTGCTGTACCATATCAACTAAGTTAAATTACTTTTTTAAAGGGATGATACATTTTCAAACAATATTGTTGTGAAATATGCAACAAAAATTTCTTTCAGATGATCAATTCCAGAATAGATAAAAAATATAAATGACTGAGTACAGTTGTACTAATGGATAATGATTCAGACATATAATGTTTAAAGTATCAAATATTGCTTTACTCGAATTTCAATTTTAATTTTTTAGCTTCATCATTTTTCCAAATGTTAACTTCTATATATTGAAATGATCAAACTCATGAACAAATCATTGCAGGTTTTTCTACAAGTACTAAACAATTAGTAATTTGGAATCACTGATAAATGGAGATGAAAACATTTATGGCAGTTGCACCAAAACCTAAATTCACTTCTCATCTAGACTTGAACAAATAAGAACTCGTCATTAGTTGAAAAGTGTACAGTGACATGTAAATATTTTTTTCATGGGTTTCTGACTCATTGACCTTCACCCTAGGTATCCTATTAAAGGACATTGTGTGACTGCACATTCATCTTGTGACATCTTATCAAACTTTTCTAAAAGTATAAACTTACCTTGATCTTCCACATTTCTTCTGTTCCCATGGCACATAGCTTTTATCTTTTCAAATTTTTTCTTTTTGTATAGAAAACAAATTACTACTGCAATAATTACCAGTAGGATAATACCAACCACTATACCAATTCTGTAAAAAATCAAAGCAAAGTGAGCGCTATGGGCAGTTCATCGAAAACCAAGGCAAAAATAATGATGTCAACTTTCTGTCTTTCCATTAATTCTAAATGTATACAGTCAACTATCTGTCATTCCTTTAATTCTCATGAGTTAAAACTAATATAAGTGGTTAGATACCAGGATTTAAAATGTGTATAACAGACACATGTTTCGTCTACAAACAACTCATCAGTGACGCTCGAATCAAAAAAGTTGAGTAGGCCAAATAAAGTATGAAACTTTAGCATAAGTTTTAAAGTCAATAGACCATGACTGAGGGGACGGGTCAAATAATCCCCATGTAAATGATGTGCCAATGCTAATACAACTACATTCCAAATATCATTGACCTACCACTAGTTGTTCCTTATAAACTGACCTAATCACAAACTAATACACTGTTGACGATAAAGAAACAGCATGCTTAAATCTCACTCTAAGTCGAAGGGAGACAAAAAACAAGTACTAGATAACCTTAATTAGGTTAGAGGTAAATATTGCTCCAATTCAAAAGTCTCTTCCATAACAAGAAATCACACATGTTGTTCTTATTGTGAGAGAAGACTATTGATGTACTTATTGTGAAAGAAGACTATTGATGTACTTTTGTGAGAGAAGACTAGTGATGTACTTATTGTGAGAGAAGACTAGTGATGTACTTATTGTGAGAGAAGACTAGTGATGTACTTATTTTGAGAGTACTAATTGTGAGAGAAGACTAGTGATGTACTTATTGTCAGAGAAGGCTAGTGATGTACTTATTGTGAGAGTACTAATTGTGAGAGAAGACTATTGATGTACTTATTGTGAAAGAAGGCTAGTGATGTACTTATTGTGAGAGTACTAATTGCCAGAGAAAACTATTGATGTACTTTTTGTGAGAGAAGGCTAGTGATGTACTTATTGTGAGAGTACTAATTGTGAGAGAAGGCTAGTGATGTACTTATTGTGAGAGTACTAATTGTGAGAAAAGACTATTGATGTACGTATTGTGAGAGAAGGCTAGTGATGTACACTTATTGTGAGAGAAGACTAGTGATGTACTTATTGTGAAAGAAGACTAGTGATGTACTTATTGTAGAGGAAGACTATTGATGTACTTTTGTGAGAGAAGACTATTGATGTACTTATTGTGAGAGAAGACTAGTGATGTACTTATTGTGAGAGAAGCCTAGTGATGTACTTATTGTGAAAGAAGACTATTGATGTACTTTTGTGAGAGAAGACTATTGATTTACTTATTGTGAGAGAAGGCTAGTGATGTACTTGTTGTGAGAGAAGACTAGTGATGTACTTATTGTGATAGAAGACTAGTGATGTACTGATTGTGAGAGAAGACTAGTGATGTACTGATTGTGAGAGAAGACTAGTGATGTACTGATTGTGAGAGAAGACTAGTGATGTACTTATTGTGAGAGAAGACTAGTGATGTACTTTTTGTGAGAGAAGACTAGTGATGTACTTTTTGTGAGAGAAGACTATTGATGTACTTTTGTGAGAGAAGACTATTGATGTACTTATTGTGAGAGAAGGTTAGTGATGTACTTATTGTGAGAGAAGGCTAGTGATGTACTTATTGTGAAAGAAGACTATTGATGTACTTTTGTGAGAGAAGACTAGTGATGTACTTATTGTGAGAGAAGACTAGTGATGTACTTATTGTGAGAGAAGACTAGTGATGTACTTATTTTGAGAGTACTAATTGTGAGAGAAGACTAGTGATGTACTTATTGTCAGAGAAGGCTAGTGATGTACTTATTGTCAGAGAAGGCTAGTGATGTACTTATTGTGAGAGTACTAATTGTGAGAGAAGACTATTGATGTACTTATTGTGAGAGAAGGCTAGTGATGTACTTATTGTGAGAGTACTAATTGCCAGAGAAGACTATTGATGTACTTTTTGTGAGAGAAGGCTAGTGATGTACTTATTGTGAGAGTACTAATTGTGAGAGAAGACTATTGATGTACTTATTGTGAGAGAAGGCTAGTGATGTACACTTATTGTGAGAGAAGACTAGTGATGTACTTATTGTGAAAGAAGACTAGTGATGTACTTATTGTGAAAGAAGACTATTGATGTACTTTTGTGAGAGAAGACTTTTGATGTACTTATTGTGAGAGAAGACTAGTGATGTACTTATTGTGAGAGAAGGCTAGTGATGTACTTATTGTGAGAGAAGACTAGTGATGTACTTGTTGTGAGAGAAGGCTAGTGATGTACTTATTGTGAGAGAAGGCTAGTGATGTACTTATTGTGAGAGAAGACTAGTGATGTACTTATTGTGAGAGAAGACTAGTGATGTACTTATTGTGAAAGAAGACTATTGATGTACTTTTGTGAGAGAATCTGCCAGAGTAAAGTTCTCTAATGCATACTTATCTATTGTTGTATCAAAAAATAAACTTACATCGTTGGCGTGGTTGAGTTGTCACCACCCCCTCTCGGCCCAGGTTTGGACACAATGACTGTTGCTAAAGTACCTGTTATAAAAATCTTAACCATTAATAAATTTAAGGATGTAATGCATTGACTTTCAGCATAATAAATATATTAGGTCTGATTTAGTATGCTGAATAAAGTTTTTGAAATAACATAATAATGAAGTTACACAAAATAAAAAATAAATTGATTTTTGTTCTGCTGTTCTGTTAATATTTATACACATGATGGTACCAAAATCATGGGATAGATATGTGATAAATAGACCATTATATGAAATTTTCCATATCAACCCTTCAACATATATCACAAGTTTATCCCAGTCCTATATTGAAGTATTGTGCTGATACTAGCATGACTTGGGTCAATATGGAAAATGCCATGTAGTAATCTATAATTAGGATCATGTACATACTTTTTACAATCAAGGGTGCAATAGGTTGTTATAATCATAAACATAATTAACATAATCATTTAATACATAATTTATATTCTTAATCAGATTACTATTTAAAGCTTAGCACGGATAATTGTAAGTTTTTGTCAACAATGATTGAGCTAAGAACTATGACCAGAAACTTACTTGTTGTTGTAGTAGTAGTGGTTTCAATAACTGGTGGTTTTGGCTGGTATGTCTGTATTGCACTGCTTGCAGTGGTGGTCTCAGGGTATGGTGAAGGCTTTATAATGCTGAAAATTAATAAGATCACACACAATGAAAATATGCAGCATCTTAAATGATTTCACAAAATTATTTGGAAGCTTCTCAATGTTAAGATACAAAAAGTAATCTATTAATAAGTACACTTTCTATTGCAAAACAACTAATAATAATGACATACGTGTACGATTTATTGAGTCAAATGTCAAGCACAGAGAAATTATTAGTTGGACTGGAGCACTATGCAAGTTCTAATGTAATAATCCAAATTTGTTCTCATTTTAAATTTTCATGGTACTCACCAGGATACTAAAGTTATAGCAATGTTGTGCAATTTCTAAACTGACTGAACTTTAATTTTACATTCATTAAAATCAGGATTTAACCTCAAGTTAAACTTCCAAGTTAAGACCCTTTACCATACAGGCTATCATTTCAAGGCCTTTTATAGCTGACTATGCGATATGGGTTTTGCTCATTGTTGAATGCCGTACGGTGATCTATAGTTGTTAATTTATGTGTCATTTAGTCTCTTGTAGAGAGTTGTCTAGTTGGCAATCATACCACATCTTCTTATTTTTGTATTTCAGTGTTTTTTTCCATAGTGCAACACATTTAAATGAGAATCTGACATGACATTTAAATCTCAAAATATGATCATATCTGTTCCAATAGTACAAGCTTATACTATGATTTCTGATAAATACAATTATTTGTATGAGGTCCTTGTTTTGGAATGATTTGATTGGGTATTTTAGGCATGGCATGCTCACTTACAATGGCTTATTTGAAACGCTCGTCTTCAATTATTATTTACCAATGGAGATAATTATCCACCAGAGACCAATGGACAAGGATTTGAACGTTAAGAGATCACCAAAACCCATATTATACAATTAACTATATAAGGCCCTTGCATGAAAAAAATTAGAAACAATTCAAAAGAAGAAGTAGAAAGCCTCATTTTTACTTAAACAATAATAAATGAAAAAAAAACTTTTTCTCATACTTTAAGAAAAACTTACGTATTGTTTCCTGGTACCCTGAGACAGGGACCACATCCAATGGCTTCCTTTTTATATCCAGGTGGACATGGAACACATTCTACAGAAATGAAATTAACCTTCTTATAAGGGTATTGCACATTAAAATTATTTTTGTCGTTTTAAGGTTTCAAAAGATTATTGATTATATTCCCTTTCTCTATTGTATTTTATTTTGGTATGAAAATTCTTAATATAATACATATATATATATATCTTCAAGTTGCATATTTTCCTAGATATATATTGTGAACCAAATTTGAACCACTGACCTATTCAAAAGCTTGAAACTATTTCCATGTGCTTAATCTAAAAAGAACGTTAGAAAATATCTACAAAAGTTAAAGAAAATTCATACAAAGACGAATCATTTGATTAACAACCTACTTCCAGAATTATCCAGATGGAAGTCTGGGCGGCACTTTTCACTTTTCTTATGTGAAAAGTTATCACAAAGACATGGATCACCATAGAAACAAGCGTCTAATTTACATTTGCATCCCTGTCCAGATATACATGCCGCTCCTTTATTCAGGGTCTTGGAATACACTTGATCTGAAAATAACAAATAAATATTAGTGTTATCAGATTCTTAGTGCCAATCCGATGAAACAAGCCTTTTCCAGCTGATTTTTATAGTTTTTTCTTATGTTGTGCTGATACACCACTGTCTCAGGTTTGGGGAGGATTAAACATTTTTACCTAACCAGTTACTAGAATAATCTTTATACCTACAATGTATTAACCAGTTTACAAGTAGTAAAGTTGATGTTACCTCAAGCTGTTTAACAAAATGTATAAATTGTGCTGATTAATTATTTGTAAATTGAATGTTTTCATTGTTGATCAATACTGCTCACTTGTTAGATCTATATACAGTGGATTCTTTTATTTTCGTGGATACTTAATTTTAGTGGATTGAGGAATAAGAGTGCACACGCTGAAATGTCTCGCCTGCTTTACTGACCACTGATTTTATGTTAAAAGTCTTAAAGATAAAGGTTTTACTAAAAGCATTACAGAAACTTAACATTTTATGACAATGAGGTCAAGGTCAGATAAATCGTGTCAGACAGACATATACACCTTACAATTTGTTATACACCAAATATAGTTGACCTTTTGTGTATGGTAATATAATTAAATAAACAGCTGCGCCATGAGAGCATGATATGCCCATCGTCTTGTGTGTGAGGTTTTATGCAATAATCATAAATCGTTTCTGAGATACAGCGTGACATGTGAAAACCACCCTTTTTTTATAAAAAAATCAATAACTCTAAAATAAAATTTTGAATCATCACCAAAAAGTATACAGATCTTTAGATTAATATAATTAAGAAGTGTGTAAAGTTTTAAGCAATAATCATAAATCGTTTTTGAGATACGGCGCGACATGTGAAACCCCCCCCCCCCTTTTTTAAAAAAAACTCAATAACTCTAAAATAAAATTTTGAATCATCACCAAAAAGTATACAGATCTTTAGATTAATATAACTAAGAAGTGTGTAAAGTTTTAAGCAATAATCATAAATCGTTTTTGAGATACGGCGCGACATGTGAAAAAAACCTCCCCCTGTTTTAGTTACAAAGTCCCGTAAATCAAAAAGTTTTAATCTTATTTTCACAAAAAAGTATACAGATCGTTTGATCATCATAAGAAACAACTATGTTAAGTTTCATGAAATTTGGATAAATCATTCTCAAGTTACGGTGCGACATGTGGACGCCAGACAGACGGACAGACAGATAGACTGACAGACGCTGGACATTTGTATACCGTAATATGGCCCGTAAAAATTTTGACAGGCGTATAAAAACAGACCAAAACATAAAAACTTAACACTGACCAATGAACCATGAAAATGAGGTCAAGGTCAGATTTTACCTCCCAGACAGACATGTGCACCTCACAATTATTCCATACACCAAATATAGCTGACCTATTGCTTTAGTATTTGAAAAACAGATAAAAACACAAAAACTTAACACTGACCAATGAACCATGAAAATGAGGCCAAGGTCAGATGATACCTGCCAGACAGACATGCACACCTTACAATCATTCCATACACCAAATATAGTTGACCTATTGCTCATAGTACTTGAAAATACAGACCTAATCACGTAACTTTAACCTTGATCATCACTGATCAATGAAATGAGGTTGAGGTCAGATGAACTCTGTCTGATGGACATGTTGACATTGCAAGGAACCCATATCCCAAATATAGTTATCCTATTACTCATAAGTGGGAAATTCACATGACCAAAAAACTCACTTTTTTTTTCAAGCACAATGGACATATGACAGACGGAAACTTCGTAACATAAGGTATCTGCATACACGGTATGAAGCATGAAATATTAAGCTTTTTCTGAAATATTAAGCTTTATACAAATAGCATGAATAGTTTACGCCACCGCAGACGTGACTAAAATTGTATTTTCGTAGATATTTGATCTAGTGGGTTTGTCAAAGTATGAACACAAGCCTTTAGAACATGTGTACTTCGTTGGACATTTAAAAATCTGGTTAACCTATACCCACGAAATCCATAAAAATTAGTATCCTACAAGATAATAATGAATCCACAGTACTACAGCAGTGTACAGTAAATTCAGAGATAAGTAATTCTGCCTCACACTTTACTCAGAGATCAGTAATTCTGCCTGCACACTTTCATGGAACAACATAAAAAGGGGTAAATGTCATAATTCAAGAGAATGCAACAATTACATCATATTTCCCTCACATTTACCTAGATGCTCAGTAAAATGGCTGAATCCAAAATGTCAATGATGTTTTCTTTAAACATGTTAAATGTCAGTTTCTTTCAATTTTACAGAATGCAGTTTGAACATATATGATAATGGATGTAGCCCTAATGCTCAATTCAGGATTATGGGAATACTCTTCAAAATTTTTTACCCCACATACCTACCTTTCTGTTAGGGGTTATACTTTTGCAAGTGCCTTTTTTATTAGCTGGTACATATAAATATTTTTGAGGTCAAGTTATATCTCTAAGATATTCATATTTTTTTGTATTCAATAGTTGTCTTTACTATTCATTTAAGTATAATTTCATAGACAATTAATTTTAAAAATCCCATTTGTCTGTTATCGTCTTCAAGTATATAAACATGACTTGTATTTAGTTTTACCCATACTGCCTTTCATAAACCTTTATGACTGCATCAGTAAAAATCATATAATTCTATATCCTGGCCTTTTTTAAGTTTAAACTTTCTACCCTTTAGTAATTGTCATGATTGTTTATATACTACCAGATGCAGATCCAGGACTTTGAAAATAAAATGCTTCGCTGAGCGCAGCCTGATATGACCGCAGAGGTTGCACCCTGAACAGTTGGGGCAAATTTGGACACACTATTCAAGCTTGATACTGTCTGAATTTGGATTGTGATCAATTTTTTGACATAATATGGGTTTCTGACACAAAATAAATGTGGTCAAAGATCTTATAAATCCATTGCGAAATACTGTGCAATTGAAGATTTCTTCTTGAAACTTTTCAAAAAAAAAACGAAATTTAAAAAAAAAAAAAAAAAAATATGAATCCCTTAAAAAAATTGGGAAAAAAATCCCCCCCAACTTTTTGAAACCCCCCTTAAAGCAATAACCCCAAAACTCAATCCCAGCCATTCCTTTGTAGTATGGAACCTTGTAGTACAATTCCAGAGAGATCCATACACTTACACACAAGTGATTGTCTGGAAACTAGAAAAATGCTTGTTTTTGGCCCTTTTTGGTCCCTAATTCCTACATGTTTGGGGCAATTAACCCCAAACTCAATTCCAGCCTTCCCTTTGTTATATGGAACCTTGTGGTACAATTTTAGAGAGATCCATACACTTACACACAAGTTATTGTCTGGAAACTAGAAAAATGCTTGTTTTTAGCCCCTTATTGGCCCTTAATTCCTAAACTGTTGGCCCCATAACCCCTAAAATGAATCCCAACCTTCTACTTGTGGTATTAATCATTGTGGTACAATTTCAGAGCAATCGAAATACTTATACACAAGTTATTATCCTGAAGCTAGAAAAATGCTTGTTTTGGGCCCCTAATTCCTAAACAGTTGGGACCATCATCCCCAAAATCAATCCCAACCTTCCTTTTGTGGTATTGAACCTTCTTAAAAAATTTCATAGAGATCCATTCACTTAAACTTAAGTTATTGTCCGGAAACCAATGTGTCTTCGGACAACGACGACATCATATCATTATACGATCCCAAAAATATTTTTTGCGGTCGTATAAAAAGGGTGTGTGTGTGTTTGGAGTGGGATATATATGTAAAAAGTCTATGCATCAACCATATATGTAGCTCCATAAGGGGGAGGGGGTAGGGTCCCCTTCCCCCTTATTCTGCCTCTGACTACAATGAAAATGTATAATTTACAAAATAAATCAAAGCACTGTAAGCGCTGGAGGCAGTTAACCAAAAACCAAGGCAAAAGTAATATGAAAACTGTGGCAGTGTTGCTTCAATTTTTTTTTTTAAGATTTGAAAGAACAAACATTAAACATTTGTATATTGTACATTTATGTTTATCTAATGAATTGATTATTAAGGCAAATTAATTCATATTTCATCAAGGTTTTCAAAAGCAACGCATATATATCAATCTTCACCCCAAGTCCATGATGTCACTCCATAGCAAGTTTTGAATAAAATGACAGGTGATTATAAAACAGTTGGTCAAACATTCTTGGGCTTTACACTGCTTGAAAGATTGATATGTTTTCTTTAAAATGAGCTATAAATGAAAATTATTATAGGCCCAGAAATAATTCAAAAAATAATTAGTGTAAATTCAATTAACCTAGACTCATTTTTTGCATCAATAAAATTTTATAATAAACAAGAAATAATTGTAACAGGATGCCGTTTCCAAAACAAAGCTCCCATAATTCGTCATTCCCATGGTTGCCTGACATTGGGCAAAGTCCAGTACATATTGGTTTGGTCTAGTAAAGTGATATGCATATGTGACGCCTAGGGGATTGACCCTGTATGTCAGTCAAATCTTTTTGAAATGACGAACAGGAATAAATATGGTTTAGGAGTGGCTATCTCGACCGTTTACAAGTTCTCAAACAGGAGAGGGTGGGGTAACCCCAGGGACTCCCCCTATATTTCATTTGATTTGTTTTATTATCCCATACATGAATATATATGGTTTAGGGGTGGGGATCTCGACCATTTCCAAGTTCTCAAACAGTAGGGGGTGAGGTGACCCCAGGGACTCCCAATATATTTCATTTGATTTGTTACATTGTCCCATACATGAATATATATGGTTTATGGGTGGGGATCTCAAACGTTTACAAGTTCTCAAACAGGAGGGGGTGGAGAGACCCCAGGGACTCCCCCTATATTTCATTTGATTTGTTTTATTGTCCCATACATAAATATATATGGTTTAGGGGTGGGGATCTCGACCATTTCCAAGTTCTCAAACAGGAGGGGATGGGGTGACCCAAGGGACTCCCCATATATTTCATTTGATTTGTTATATTGTCCATACATGAATATATATGGTTTAGGGGTGGGGATCTTGACCGTTTACAAGTTCTCAAACAGAAAGGGGTGGGTGACACTGGGTACTCCCCCAAATTATTTTCATTTGATTTGTTTTATTGTCCCATACAAGTATATATATGGTTTAGGGGTGGGGATTGCAACCGTTTACAAGATAAAAGCACATTTTCAAATTGAAGGGGGTTGGGATGACCCCCAGGGACTCACCCTATACTTTATTTGATTTGTTTTATTGTCCTTTACTCATTACTGAAGACCGCGTGTGTCTATCACTTACTGTTTTCGAGAAATAGTCATTTGAAAATTTAAAAAATAAAACCCCACAGGGTTCTACAGTAAACCCATCCCTTCTTTAGGCCCCTCAAAATACCCCTAAATAGACCCCAATGCACAAACAAAAGATTGATGGCTGCGCTAGACATGTTAGTCTAACATTTTATGAAACCCTAAGTAAATCTGACAAGCGGTCCGAGTTGTCTTCTTAGACGGTTCGAGTGGATTCGGTCCGACTTGTCTCGGGGACGAGTTGTCCACATTACTTAAAACATCCCATCGACGTTGATTTCCGGATCTGTTTCATGACCTCGTTTCATTCATAAAACAACAACCTTATTTGGCAAGATAAGTTGTAAAATTACCGCCAACTTAGATATATAACTTTATTTCCTCTTTCATAGCTATAGAGATTTGTTGTACATGAATAATATTCCTGCGCATTTTGCCATTTGGGAAATATAAACAACTTGTAATTATAGATTTTCGGCGATGAAATATTTCATACAATTGTTCTTTGACATCTTAGCCAAAAGCACAGGGGATAATAAACTACGTACGGATTTCTATTGAGCACTATTTCCTATGTGCAACTTCAAATATTATGAGTCGTTCGACGATCATTTAAGGTTATTCTGGTTATATTTTTTGTATTCCAGAATTAAAAGTATGAAAAAAATGTCCAATTAGTTATAAATAACATATCAGCCTGCTAGATTCTAACATTTGCACTTTTTTCAGCATTCGTTGGGAAGAACACAAATCTAGGGTGCTAGCATAAGGCAGCTTAACTGCCTAAAAATGCATTTCGGTCTCCAAATGATAAATTGCACCAAGTTATTACCCTACAGTCCATAGTCATTTTGACAGTAGGCGTAGCAAAGAAAGTGTCCACAATGTGTTCATTTGATATACTAGATATAGCAAACTTTATGATTTATAACTTATAATTGATAAAATTACCATGTCCAGTACATCTAGCAAACCTCAAATTGGTTTGTTGTAGAGGTTTAAAACATTTCAGTTGATCTATGGTTCCATCAACAGAGGAAATGTAATTAGGTTGTACAAATTTAGATTCTGGTGATTCTGACCCATTACTATAGCATGGCTGACACTGTTCTTTGGTAAATTCTTCTATACATGGCAATATTTCATTTCCTGTTTGAAATAATTAGAAAGATTAACTATTTCATCATTTCCTGTTTGAAATAATTAGAAAGATTAACTATTTCATCAGTTAAGAAAGAAGAAGAAGAAGAAGAAGAAGAAAATGTTTTATTTCCATTAAATGGGCTCACAAAGAGCATAATACAATATAAGACATTAATACATGTAATAAGACAACAAAAAAAAAAAAACAATAGTCAAGAAGACATACAAAGAAAAGAAAAAGCAGTTTGAACATGAAAGAACTACACACACATATAAATATATATACATGTATATACAAGTCTAAATTGAAATCAACGTTCAAACCTATGATTGCGTTGGATAAAAACTGCAATTTTTATATGTGTGCATGCAAAACAAATTTCTTGGTAGAGGGGTCTAAATACAGCACAAACAACATTTTCCAAAAGACCAAAAAGTGAAAAAGTATATTTTAACAAAACGCATTTGACTAGCAGGTCGAACAACGGATGTTCTTAAACCCTGCTGACTGCCATGGCGATTGCCAAATAAACAGATCACAGATGTAACAAAATGGATCTTAATTTTAATCTAATACCAAATAGAAAAAACAAAAAACTTGCGGAAAAGATGGTATACCGCAAACATGAGGTGCAAAAATTTGTACACCATATCCGGATTTCGACAATTAATGTCTCTTCAGAGATGTTAGGAATCGAAACGGTATTTGGAAGGCCATATAATTTACCTCAATTTGGGATTGACTCTTGAATTTTGAAGAGTCGAAATAGGATGAACGGATCATATAAACCCGAAGGCAAATATAATACAAGCCCAAACGAAAAAATATAAACAAGTCTAAATTGTATATATATATATATGTTTAAGAGTGTTGTATCTCCTTCTCAGGTACACCCCAACATGAAAAAGTTCTTTAAATAAATTGGCAATGTATTGGATATGTAACTTAACTGCAAAAGCCACCAAGGGACGGTGCTGCAAGGCAAGGTGGGAGATAGACATGATAGACGCACATGGCATATACATGTATGTAAATAGACAATTTGGTTTGATGAACCTGGTATGTCATCCTCGTGCCTGATGCAGAGGGGTTACATTGTAATACATATTGTAAGGTGACCCGACTGCAAGAGGCACCAAGTGACGATGCTAAATGATATACCTAAGTATATATAGTACTAAATAGAAAATACTTATATATAATATATAGGGAATAATTCTGATTGTCAATGATAAAATAAATACAAGAAGGTACATTATTATTATTGGTGAGTCTAGGTAACCACCATGCCATCCTCGTGCCTGATGCAGAGAAGCTAAATCTATATTTTGCCTTCATCAATCAGATTACAAACAGATATTAATATACATCAACATTCTCTACATCAAGTAGCCAGATTAGTTTTTGGCTAGGAATCAAGTGCTTAAAGTTAAGACAGAGTGAGTTAATCATGGAGTACATGCACTTTCTCCTAGTAAAAGATGATGTGCATGAAAATAAAAAATGTTTTTCATCATCAATTTCATTCGAGGTGAACCTGAGACATACTCTGTTTTGTCAAGAAATACCATGATATCTACCTTGTTCAATTCTAAGTCTATGTGATGAAATACGAGTAAAATTTCTCCTCCGCTCAGGGGATCGCAATAAAATAACATATCTTTCAAGACATTCTCCACATTCTTTATGTGCCAATTTATGTCTAATTGCCAGCAACCTGTTCTCACCAAGTCAGTCTATCTTGACCATGTGTTGTTTGCTTTTATTTGCATGTCTGTTTTTTTCTATTACATGTAAGTTGGGTGTTGGTGGTTGATGTGGTATATTGTACTATCCAATATTTTAGAAATTCCTGTTATCTTTTTAATGTATTACCATGATTACTGACCAAACTTCCAAGACGACCTATGATCAATGACAATCTAAAAAAGTGACTACTCAGTTTTAAACTGTATTTTTACATTACTCACCAGGGGGACAGTTATAGAAAGGAATACAACGTTTCAGTTGGCCATCGATTATTCTCTCTACATATTCTCCATGTATAATGGTCAACTATAATGTAAAATGTATAGCTTTCAAAAATTATAGTATGTGAATAAAATAAAACAGACAATTTGTTAGCATGTAATTTACAAATAATTTAATCCAATTCATGCATGTATATTAATGACATCAGTTAACTAGTGTGTGTGTGTGTCACCAAATGAACAAAAAAACACAAAAAAATATTGGGAATTGATCAATATTTTACGAATTTCAGTATTCTCCCCATTACTTTTAAAACCAAAGTTGTTTGGTCCCTAAATATTCTAAATGAAAAATACAACCACCAGTACCTGACATCATTCCTGATTATTGTTTAAATGAACTAATACACTACAAAAGTCAAAAAGTCTGAAAAGACCAGTTTTTTGTCTGAATTTGCATGAATTTTTACTCGACATTCTTAATTTGTCTGAATAATTTTTAAAAATTCTTGACATAGTATGAATTTGTCTAATAAGGTTCTTGATTTTTCTTGACCAATTCTTGACTGTCTAAAATTTGTCTCGATCTGTCTTGACATATTCTTGACATTCTTAATAATGTCTGAGTATGTCTCGACATATTCTTGACATTCTAAATAATGTCTGAATATGTCTCGACACATTCTTGACAGTCTTAAATATGTCTTGACACTATCTCAACAGTATAAATTTCGCCTGTAATGTGAACAGACTTATTCTGCACTGTTTATGACATTGTATTGCTGTTATATACTCCTTTTTATTATGGCTAAACTAAACTTTGTAGAATCAAGGATTAATTTGGTAAAGTAAGATACCCTTTTGGTGCAACTAAGTTGGAATACCCTGAATAATCCCCCATGTAGTTTAATTTTGATTTATTTTTATTAAACATTTAAGTAATTGTTTTCACTTGGAATATAAGTCGAAGGTATTGACAAACAGCATTTAGATTTTTGCCGTTCGCAAAACTGCCAGTCAAATTTGCTTTACTAAAATAGGTGTCTTGTATTTCTTTTGGACCCCACAATTCATCTTTTGGGTTTGTGTGGCTAAAAAAAGAGGGGGGGGCTTTCCTTTAGGTCAAAGAATTTGTTCCCATCTTGATTCAAAAACCTTATTCATTTTTTAGAACAACCCAAAAACATTTTTTATTCAAATTTGAGTGTTGAATTTTATAATTTTTTATCAAAAATAAATATTTGTGATAACTCCTTCCTGAAAAGAAAAAAATGTTTAGATCTATATTATGCATTTCTGTTTGAGAACCATTTCATAAGACCGATGATTTCTATAGAAATCATTGATGGGACCCATTATAAATACATTTTTTTTATTATTCCTGGAGTAGATAATAATTTTCTTTTAATCTTTGGGTTTATCAATTTGTTTTTATGTTAAAATAATTAACTTCATAATTTTGATGAAGAAAATCCATTTCAATTCAATTTTTTTTCATCAAAAAGATGATTTTCATTTTCACCTATCAACAAACTTTTTAAAGTGTAGTGGCATGGTCGGTCAACTGATAAGTTGTATGGCTGATTACAGGTAAAGCAATAACTTCTATTTGACAGTTGCGTGTACTCTGGGGAGTGGAATACCTTAATTTTATGGGGAACATCCTGTCCATGTGTAATACTTAATATATTCCAACAGATGACATTACACAAATTTTTCTTCTGTTAAATGAATGATTTGTATATCATAATTTGCTATTTATATAAAAACCACATTTTGGTATAATAATTATTTACCATATCAACATTGAATATTATGAATGTAGAATGAAATATGTCTACAGTATGATTGGTTTGAATCATTTAATTTATAAGATTTAGGAATCAAAATTTGTAATTATTTAAAAACCCACATTGAAATTGTTTTATATCAACACACCCACATTTGAATTATTTTATACTTTAGATTTCATAGCCATATTTGCATTTGTTAAAATATTTATATACCCAAATTTTCAATTATTTTACATGCCCAACTTTTATTTTTGTTGTAAAGAAGTGTAACTTGAAACAACAGTATATTAATAAAGAGAAATAAAGATTAAAGTTATATCATGAATATTGGTCATGATTTGTAAAACTCAGAACTGTCAAGTAAATTTAAGACACGATTCAAAATGTTCAGAATATGTCAAGCCATACTGAGAAAAAATTAGAATGTCGAGAATATGTCGAGAAATTTCAAGACAGTATTCAAATGTCAAGAATTTGTCAAGAAATTTTAAGACCATATTCAGAATGTCGAGAATATGTCGAGTAAATTTCATACAAATTTAATATAAATGAGAATTTGTCAAGAAAAATTAAGACACAAGTCATACTTTTGGAGAATGTCGAGTAAAAGTTCATGCAAATTAAGACAAAAACTGGTCTTTTCAGACTTTTAGACTTTTGTAGTGATATGAAATTAAAATTCATCATAATTTATTATAATTTGTGATTTAAACATTTTCCATCACCAGTGGCAGCAAAAAACTTCACAGCATTTGGGACTCGATTGGAAGCAGTACCTCTGTCCGAGTGAAGCCAGTCGAAATGGTACGGAATTGAAAGTAAAATGTCATTCAAAGATTCCATATTTTCTGTATTGAATTTTTCCTGATGACCATGATCACAGTGTGCTAGGCACAGAAACATGTTGATCTCCTTAAATTACTGCAGCAATCCCATAAGTGTTGTTGTTACAATTGCTTTCACCTTTTGTGTTTTTTATCTTAACAATAAAATTGAGAATGGAAATGGGGAATGTGTCAAAGAGACAACAACCCGACCATAGAGCAGACAACAGCCGAAACTCCCGCACCCGAGGTATCCACTTCAGGGATTCTATAGTGTTGAAGATTTACCAGGCGTTTGTTCACTTTTATTTGTAATTATATATATGTTTATTTATAAATACCTGAATGACAACATAAAACCACAATACAATCATTCTGGAAGCATAGTTACTTATGTAGTTTACATGTCACACTTTTCTAGGGCATCTGAAATTAATTATTATCAGTAATTCTTACATGTAGAAGCAGACCATTTCAAGAATTATTATCACTTACACATTGTATACATATGATATATAAATGTTAGACTCAGAACGATGTTCAGTCTCTAATCAAGGTCTAATGTAAAGTCACATTCTCAAATCAGTGTCCAATATTTTGACCCTCTTATAGACGTCCAATGGGACATCATGTATTCAACGTCTGATTGATCTGTCTCTGCTCTCATCTAACATGTCTAAGTCCAATATCATTTAATCATCAGTTATTCTGAGTTTGATCTTCCTTTATACTATGTGGATTGGTTAATTCCTTTAATATTTATATTCATTTAAATACATGTAGATGTCATATATATATATATATATATGCATGTAGATACATGTGTATACGACAATGAGACAACAACCTAACAACAAAGATAATCAAAAGACATCTTAGGGAAATATACAGCCTCAATGCAACCAATAGACTGAATGAAGAAGTACAGTCAATTGTTGAAAAAATGTATTATTATTTGGACTCTGCAAGATTTAAAATCTTATATTATTTAACAACTTTTTGAGTTTTAGGTCCAACCAACCATTTGCATTCAAAAAATGTCTGTATCAAATCAAGAGTAAGACATTTGTTTTCATTATATAAACATGATAAAGTAGTGATGTCATTACCTTAAGTCTGATAAAATGGCATAGAATAGAAAAGCCAAATATTAGATGTTTATTTGAGAACAACAACACAGATTTTCATTAGAGGGGCATAGAATTGGCTGTCGATTCAGTTTCTTATCTAATTATGACGTCAGATTTGGACGATTTGAGGAACGAATGTCATTAAAAGACCAGACGTTGATCTGAGCCTTTCATATATATTTATTTTACATGCTATAGGTGTAACACTACTAATTCAGGCCCGGCCAGAAAGCACATACCAGAAAGTAGTACATATTTAACACAAAATAGTTCCTACGCATGAGTGTAACTTTCAAAATATGTAGAATATTTAGGTATTTTTGGTATCAAATGAAAGCTGAATGACTGGTGATCATTGGAAAACACTTTTTGACTTATAATTTTGAATATTTAAAAAACTGCACCAAATTTTAAAAAGAGGGTACATTTTGCCTGTTTGTCAGATCTGAGGTACCTGTTTTGGTACATCCGAAGTTCCGGGAACCAGTTCTTTCTTATATGGCATTAAAGGTATGTTGATTTTTTCATTACAAGACACCATAAAGTGTGGCTTTGACATGCAATGATTTGTCACTTTATTTGAACTTAAAACAAAAGAGTTGTGCCTGCTTGAAGTTGAGGAATTTAACATAGAAAGCAATGGAGCCATGAATTAGTGGTGTACATCCTGTTACAGAGAATCATCAGAAATTCAATTTTTAGAAGTTGTATAGTCCGTTTGACTTCTATAAATCTTCAGAAAATAATTCTTAAAAATTCAATTTTGCAAATAAACAGTTTTTTTCTTGATGTATGTTAATGTATGATATATATGAACTCTGACTATGAATATCATAATTTTAGGCCAATAATCAAAAAAGTTACCCATTAGGTCTCTATGTCACTTCTATTTTTTTCTATATATAATACTTGATGGAGTAAGTATGAATAGTGTAACAGCCTTCCGTTCAAAACAAAAACATAAGACATGTGTTTTGAGCCTGTTTCATTGTACCATGTGACTTAACTCATTTAAATATCAAAGGACATTATACATGTCATGAAAAATGACCATCATCTAAATTTTTTTTATAACTGGTTTCATATGATTTTATAAATGAACTTGCATGTATCTACAAAGATGTTATTTGTGGGAAAAAATATTATAATCAGATGTTTTATTTTGTTTTTATTCCTTACCAAATCTTAATTTTTGTTACCTTAATTTGATTATATATTTATATATATCTTATAAAAGAATATAAGCAAGCTTTTCATGCTTAAAGCATGATGACAGTATTAACAAAATGGAGAGCCTCTAAAAAGTTTCACTAATAAGTATTTACAGAATACATTTAATATTTACTTTTTTCTTGAAAAAACACAGCTTATGACTTTCAAAATATGAAAATAAAATTAGATAAAATATAACCATAAAGACCTTTACTGATGAAAAGGGGAACTTTTTGATAAAATTTCTAAACTGAATTATGCATAAAACTACTTTGTAGTTTTTAAAAATGTTATACTAGTAATGTCCAGTGGAAAATATTACTAAGGTTACTCATAGAAATGGAACAATGAAAAATACAAAATCATGTATACAATAAGTTCAGTAATCACATGACATAAAACTTAAATGAAGTCCAAGTTTGTTTGCTGGTCAGCGTTATTTGAATGACAAAAGTCACATGGTATAATGAAACAGGTTTAAAGCACATGTTTTATGTTTTTCTTTTGAATGGAAAGCTGTTACACTATTCATACTTACTCCATCAAGTATTTTATATAAAAAAAAAATAGAAGTAACATAGAGACCTAATGGGTAACTTTTTTTGATTATTGCCCTAAAATTATGATATTCATAGTCAGAGTTCGTATATATCATACATTAACATACATCAAGAAAAAAAACGTTTATTTGTAAAAATGAATTTTTAAGAAATTATTTTCTGAAGATTTATAGAAGTCAAACCGACTATACCTTTTCCAATAAAAATTAGTCATATTTGATGTCAGTAATCATTTTTAATCATCTTTTTTGGATGAACAATTCTGTTTATGGGAAATTTCAGCTCTTAAATTGACATAATAAGGTATTTTAGCCTTTTATGGTCATACAACATGCATGCAGTTAAGACTTGACTCCAAGTTCTTATGTTTGCATACATGTAATTTGGGATTGAAATTAATAAAACATGTATATTATGACTTGTTTATGGTAAAAAAATAGCTCTTTGTCAAATAATCCTATGATTTTTTAAGTTTTATTGGTTTTCTTATGGTAGCCTTTTACAATCTAGGCAGTTGGTATATACTCATATAAGAATTCCAAAATCTCACTGTACATGTACATGCAATTTTGAACCAGTTTAGCAAGTTATCCAGCTGAGGGATATATAAATTGCTCTTAAAAATCTTTGTTGTACCACAGAAGTATATGGTTTATACCAAAAATGTCCCTTTTCCAATTTGAAGAAAAAAGGGGGGACAATATTCTCAATTATGTCTTAGGTTTGGACTAATATATTTTTATTAAAAGAACAACCTCTGGTAAAAATATGACTATTGGTAAGCACATTGCTTTCTTAATAGAACAATGATATTGAGAATAAAAAAAGTATATTGGCCATTGGTAATATCCATATGCAGTTTTCTTTGAATAACCCATATGTTACTACCAGCATGACCAGTCCAATTTGAGCTTAAAATTAGTGAAATAGTATTTGGACTAAGGCTTTAAATGTTTTTATTGCTTGAAATAGATCATAGAATAAATAAAGTGATGCTGAAGTCAGTATAGCAAGTTTGATTCTGTTATAGGTGTAACACCACTAATTCAGGCCCGGCCAGAAAGCACATACCAGAAAGTAGTACATATTTAACACAAAATAGTTCCTACGCATGAGTGTAACTTTCAAAATATGTAGAATATTTAGGTATTTTTGGTATCAAATGAAAGCTAAATGACTGGTGATCATTGTAGAACACTTTTTGACTTATAATTTTGAATATTAAAAAAACTGCACCAAATTTTAAAAAGAGGGTACGTTTTGCCTGTCTGTCAGATCTGAAGTACCTGTTTTGGTACATCCGAAGTTCCGGGAACCAGTTCTTTCTTATATGCCATTAAAGGTATGTTGATTTTTTCATTACAAGACACCATAAAGTGTGGCTTTGACATGCAATGATTGTCACTTTATTTGAACTTAAAACAAAAGAGTTGTGCCTGCTTGAAATTGAGAAATTTAACATAGAAAGTAATGGAGCCATGAATTAGTGGTGTACTTCCTATATATACATGATATATATATATCTAAAGAGTGGACCAAAATTTAAAAAAAGAAATAAAGAAGAAAATAAATAAAAAAATATATGTTAGCCTTCAACTTCATTCAACTAATTTTAAATGTTACGGTGAGTATATATTCATGACTTTAAACCTGATAAAAAAGGATAAATTAGGTAGATATCTAACCAACATTTGGGCTTGTATTTTGACTTCATTTAAATTGATGCTTGGCTTATGATTTTCAGAAATATCTAGTCTATTAAATGAAAGCATTATTTTAGCCTTCAATCCTCCCTTTAAATGTTAAGGGTAAGTGTCAATGTAAATTTGTGCATATTAATCATGTTAATCAAGTGTTATGAGTTCAAACACAATAAATTCGTAATCCAGGTACATGTATTAGTCATCATGTTCAAATGATCGCTAGGCTTACAAATGTAGGCTTAGAGCTCTAATGTCAATGGAAAACATCAAATTATATAGTAAAAGACATTGGAGCTTTTGTTACATGTAGATAAAGACATATACATGTATATATTAATTATGTGATGTATGTGTACATGTATCAGCGAAAATAAATTATGACCAAAAAAAAGTCAAGTTAATGCCTAAAAACTCATAATTAACTAGCACTGTGTTACAGCGTCTGGTGATGTACATGTAGCCTGACCAGTTTCAGTCTTTCATGGACCTTCCTCATAACAATGGATTGATATAGTGGCAAAATATAGCTTGGATTTAAGGACAGACATGACAATTGGACACAGTTTTAAGATAAACATGATGAGGGATGTTTGTGCTGAAAAAGGACAATTTGATTGACATGATCATGCTGATTGAAATATATATAAATTAATAAATAAAATTAAATAATTGAAAAAATTAAATGTATTTTTGCTGGATTGATATAGTAATTTGGGGTTGAAAAAGCTTTTTTCCTAGTCTGTGCCAAATGTTGTCAGTCAGAGTCCTGACCACCAAAATCAATGTCAGACTGTCTGGTTCTGATTCTCCAAAGTTGTATTGGTATACAGTTCAGAGTTTTTGCCAAACATGTGATGTCACAGGTTACCATGGTTACAGTTGAACTTATTTCAGTTAATCATATATACATTAATCATTAATTATATAAATCAAACGTTCTTGAAATTTGGGTTCGTCAAATTTTACTGACAATGTCTTTCGTCAGAAAATTTATTTCATACATGTACTTTCCGGAGTGAAGGATCTTGGGAAATCAGGGAAAACATTTAAAAAAAAACAGTTGGTTATCGATACCTCAGATGGAATTGTAACTTCTTTTATCATTACAGTGGAATCCCCTGTGTCCATGCAGCTGGTGATATTGCGCATTACATGTACATGATTTCTTCATATCCGCAATGTAACACAAATAGAATCATTCTTGTAATTGTTTTAGTCTTCCAAAGGGACAAAAAGATCAAAATTGATAAATTCATTGCAATCCCATGAAATGTATATATATCATGTATATAGACATTTTCCATAAAAAAATAACATCATCAGATAAAATTGGTTCAATTTAAGTAAAATTTTTACCAATATGAAGTCATATGGTTATAATTTTTTGCAAAGATTCAAAGTCTCACCTTTTTTGTGCTTATTGGTGCAAAATATTTCCAGAAATATCCAAAAGAAATGATAAAATAAGATACGATTCCATTTGACAGTCAAGGGTCTAACTTAAATAAGTTATTAGAGAAAAATAACATACATGTCGTTATTGTGGGCTAAAATATCAAAAAACTGTGATAACATATGTATGTTACATGTTTCAAAGAAGCAATATACATCCTTTACTTTGTTAAATTGTATACAAGTTCTACTGGTATTATTATTGTCTTTATGTATACTAAACTTTAGAAAGATATAACAGTTTTATATAATTTGCCAATCATGTTATTACAGAAAATATATGCCTGTAATAACTAAAGGGTGTTACTACAGCTTTTCTACATCTCTTCAAAGCCATTTCTCAGACATATATCACAATGTATTTTAATTCATTGTAAGAAATAATGATCAGAGCATGTAATGAGGTTGTGAGCAAGCTTCCCAGTAATTCCCAAGTGTCTCATTTTATAAGTTACATGCCTGTAATAACTAAGTCTTGTTATTACAGCTAAGTGTATCCCTTAAAAGCCTTGTCTCATTGGTTGATCAAAAATGTATTAATTGAATTGGAAAATTAATTATCAAGGTTACAAAATGTATGCATTAAGTTTCTGCGCAAAGTTTCAAGAAATCCCAAGAGCCCACTAAAAATAAAAATATATTTTGATATATTAACTAATAACAAACATATGTTACCACAGATTAAGAAATAAAGAGCAGACATCTCATGAAAGTATCTGTAATAACACATGTATGTTATTTTTCTCTAATAACTTATTTAAGTTAGACCCTTGACTGTTTGAGGTGGGGGAATATTTATTTTGATTTCAAAATGGTTTTCCAGAATTTCCAACATACGTCACTTCCGGCGAATATAAAATATCAAATTCGCATACCTGCCAATCCTCCCGTTTTGAGCGGGAGACTCCCGCTCAAATGGCGAAATTCGGGAAATCTCCCGCTTGTCGGTAGCCCCCCACGCGGGAGTATAGAATCTCCCGCTTTGGGATATTTTAACCTTGAATAACAAGTCAACATTAATTACGTTTTTGTCTCACTGATGAGGGTTGTTTTTACCTGTAAATCATAGACCATGTGAAATTAAATGGCTTCACTTCACAGCTTGGGTGTCAAACATAGTACTAATTAACGATCATTAACGACTTTTGCTTCAAGCAAAACACTTCAAAGAAATTTCGGGTTACTTCCCCTGTTTAATCCTGTTTTAAGTTACCCTTCTTAAAATAATGTGAATTGATAAAACAATATAAACTAAATACAAATTAAACAAAGAATCATAAAAGGATGGCAATTAAAAGATTTTGTATGCCTTAAGACAAAAAAAATAATTATATTTTAAAAATCACTTAAAAGATCTATACTTCTATTCAATGTTTATATTGAAATTTATAAGATATGTATTTAACCAAATTTAGTGAAATACCGACCGTGCAAGGGCTGTATAGCCAGTCAAGGTCGTTAAAAACTTCCATTTGTTTGTTAGTGAAATAAATATGTGCACACACAAAATGCACCTGTAACAACATGATTGCTCTCTTATAACAGAGGTATCTGGGGTGAAAATTGTCCGGAAGGAATTCAAATGTCAAAGTTGATGAAATAGGAAAGAAACAAACAACACACCTTCTGTAGGATATAACCATATTTAAAGAAACAAAGTATATCTATTAACTCTTATATATATGTGTATCGTAGATGAATATATAAACACGTCATATATTTCACTTGAAAATGTCGTTCCCGCAAAATCTCCCCCTCAGCTGTCATAGCTGAGAGGGAGATCTCCCTCTTTGAAGGTTTCAGAGGTTGGCAGGTATGAATTCTGCAGATTTGGCAGAATCGAATTTCCTGATCATATAAATAGAACGTTCCGGAAATTTGGGCCCATTAAATTTTACCGAGTTTGATATTCTATATTCACCGGAAGTGACGTATCTTTGAAATCAAAACAAATATTTGCCCCCTCAAATGGAATCGTATTTTATTTTATCATTTCTTTTGGATATTTCTGGAAATAGTTTGCACCAATAAGCACAAAAAAGGTGAGAAAATCAAAATAGCCTTCCAACAGTCTTAATCATTTGGACTAGGTTAGAGCTATTGTTAGGGCTAGATATGGGTTGAGGAGAGTTTAATAAAGCAGATGGGTTCGGACCCTGCAAGTAAACAAAGGCCATAAACAGATAAAGGGAGGTTGCTCAAGAGGCCTCAGACATGCAAATATTATATATATATATATATATATATATATATACTTATTTGGTACACAGACAAACAACAATTGCTTACAAATAAGCCATTGACAAACTCAGTAATGACATTTATTCTACGGTATTTGCTAGTTACATAGCACAGAAATTACATTTTAATTTCGAAACTAACAAACTGAAAAGGGAGATAATGACACACTTTACCCTTTGCCGTTGAATGTTCAAAGTTAATGAATTAGACTAATATGTACTTCTATGCTCAAAAATAAATACAAATCTAAACTAAAAAACTATTATTTAGAGCGTCGAGCCATTAAAATACTTACAAACACTTGAGAATCCATCTTTCAAAGTGCATTAAGTCCATATCGAAAACAGTCTGAGGTCAAGGCTACAATGTAAATGATACATCTAAATTACCAAATGCAACAATTACCCAAAAGAAAGAGCAGGACCGAAAACTGCAACTGTCTACACATTTTATATTTATCAAAAAAGAAGGAAATAGTTATTATTTTGTTTTACTTTTAAAAAGCAAAAGCACTTCATAATAAAAATGTGCGCTTGATCAACGCTTGAACAGCCCTATAAGATAAAAAAAAAAAAATCAATTCTTATATATAATTACATTTTTATGTTACAACCATGATATTAAGAGTCATATGAAGTTTTTTCTCTTTTTCATGCATAGTTTTTTTTTTTACATTTTTACGGATAGCACGTGTAGTCATTATTTAATAATATTTTATTGCATTAATCAAGTGTAACGGGAGTGGAGTTTCCACTGGCTTCGTTTTCCCGTTGTCTACCCAAGTTCTGGGATATTGGACAACTAAAACCACGTAAACATAAAGATGATGTTTATTAAGAGACATACGTTATGGTTGAATATAAGTTACATACAAGAATAATAAAATATACGGTGGTGGCTAGTCTACTTGTCATTGTAAAGTTCTATATAAATTTGCAAGCCAAACGGTATGAGCGCCTGCTCATTTCAAATCCTAAGTGTAGACTGCCCTGAACCCGGTGAGTGACGTCATACTTATAGTTCCTAGGGACAACGAGCCCGGCCGGGCCGGATGTCAGGCACGTGCAAGAGGCAGGAAGTCCCGACAAGAATAATTACATGGCCGGTCTCGGAAGAAAGAGTTACGGAACTATAAATAATACTAACATTAACCAATTTCCCCAAATAAATAGAATAAATAACAAGTAAACAAAGTGACCACCATTACACTCCCCCTCTCTTAAGACATAATGTGCCCACACATTAGTCCTAAGATCGGTCAGGTATACTTACCAAATTTCGTATACAGACACACATAGTTATCAACAAATTAATCAATTTACTGTTAATGTCAATAAATAATTTCAAAAATAGTTCAAGATATTCAACGGTCTTTAACTAAATGTTCAAAAGTCACAAATACATCACGAGACATCATCACGGAGTAAGGAATCCAATTTTAAAGTTTGAGCGGAGAATCCAGATACACATCTTGTCCAAGGTTCCAGGGAGGTAAATATGGTAAAAGTCGTCCAGTAGATTTTCCAAATCTGTAAAGTAGTCCAAGTAAGTGTTCCCCAACATTTAATTCCATGTGGTTTAGTTACGTTTAAAGTTATCGGCAAAAAGGCCAATATAAATTTCAATGTTCCCTCATTGTGGCCAGCTATCCACGCACTGAAACAATTTCAGTTTAATCTCCCATATTTTATCAGACACTGGAATAATTAAGAAGCACATTCTTCTTATAAAATCCTGACTCACCAAGAGTCTATACTAGTCTAAATACACAAGCACTGCACCACTTGATCGGGTGCCCCAATATGTATTTGTATACGTCTCCGAAAGCATATAGCCCATGGAATTAATATAAACATATAGAACACACATTTCTATACTGGAATCCATACAAACTGATTGTTTGTTTATCAAATATTTCAAAAATTAGTAAGTCATATAAAACAATTGGACTCTATAATAAATCATCCCTTGTATTCCAGTAATCCCCAAACAATATCCTTAACCATGCAGACAGCATACCCATGGTGAACCAATAATTAGGTAGTAAAAATACATACGCAACAAGACTAACCAATAGTCCATACCCATCCTAGTGCCATTCTCTAGCACATAAGGTATTTCCAAATTTGCCTGTATGTACCACCGAAAGCAGCTTCCCACAGCTAAAATACTGAGTGTACTTTCTTCTATTTAGCAATAATCCAGCACAACTCGTACAAGACAACCCTATTCCAGCTGTATGACAAAAATGTCATTATAATCCAAATTCTGACTACATCCACAATTCCTTCATACGCATTGCTTAACTACTGAAAAGATTCAGTATTATTTTCCCTCCACGTAACAACCCCACCAAACTGAAATTAATTCAGTTTATTTCCAAAAGACCAAAGTAAAAATGAACATCATGATGATGTTATATAAAACATATTCTAGTACAAAACTGTACTTTTAATCCTTTTTTCAAGATTAATATAAACCGAACAAATTTCCAGAATATAATCCATGATGGCACAATATAGCCTTTTACATACGATATAACTTTGAAGTTTTGTGTATTGTTAATTCCCTCCTTTCCATGCAAGAAAGCTAAATAATTGCTATTACATCCACACTCACAAGACATAAATGCAGACAATACTGACAGAAATGCAAGTACAAAATGTACTTTTTAATCCAAAACAATTTCAAGTATAATCCAACAAATAATTTGACTTTCCAAATCCAATTATGACAATAAATATAAATACGAATCACTTAAACGGAAATAACAAATTAAACAGCGTTTTCATAATTAGAACGACAATGAGTATTCCCTATTGGTACCTCCATACACACATTCCTTAGATGTCATGTGTTTTGACGTCAAAAATGTGACGTCATTTTGTAAACATGGCGTGATAAATCGCGGACTTCCTGAAAATTGAAAAGCCATAATAAGCTTTATCCTGCAATAAAATGCAGTTAAATATTTAATTTTGCTGTTGTGTAAATTAGTACAAACATGGTGTGTCTGTTTTTCTTTTATGCAAGAACTGCATTTTTCCTCTGGAACGTGAACAAAATATTCACCTTGTGCTCCAATTTTAATTTTCCCTGCTGGATTTCTAATTTCAATTTCTGAAGGTAAGTCACCTTTACTTATCTTATTGTACAAAACAATATTGAATGCAGTACTGGTCATTGTCGGACCGGCACAAACGGCCGAAATGATAAGAAGACGAACAATAAACTGTTCGATTTTGACTCCTAGGGATACAAAAATCCCTTTTATTCCAGCCATATTGCAGAAATAATGTACAAACAATACGTTTGTTTTAATTATTATCCTAAAATATCCCGGACGAGCCCCCAATGTAACGGGAGTGGAGTTTCCACTGGCTTTGTTTTCCCGTTGTCTACCCAAGTTCTGGGATATTGGACAACTAAAACCACGTAAACATAAAGATGATGTTTATTAAGAGACATACGTTATGGTTGAATATAAGTTACATACAAGAATAATAAAATATACGGTGGTGGCTAGTCTACTTGTCATTGTAAAGTTCTATATAAATTTGCAAGCCAAACGGTATGAGCGTCTGCTCATTTCAAATCCTAAGACAGTGAGGCTAAGTGTAGACTGCCCTGAACCCGGTGAGTGACGTCATACTTATAGTTCCTAGGGACAACGAGCCCGGCCGGGCCGGATGTCAGGCACGTGCAAGAGGCAGGAAGTCCCGACAAGAATAATTACATGGCCGGTCTCGGAAGAAAGAGTTACGGAACTATAAATAATACTAACATTAACCAATTTCCCCAAATAAATAGAATAAATAACAAGTAAACAAAGTGACCACCATTACACAAGCAATAGGATTGGACACAAGTTATAACAACTTATATTAAGTCTTCTCCTTACATATACAATACACATATATATGATGACAGCAAACACATACATAATATAGCGACAGTTATAGAAAATAAAGGAAGGAATCACACATTGGCATGGCAACAAAAAAGCAAATACGACAGAAAGAAAAAAGAAAGCTGCTGACTTAGAACGTTAAAATCTTTCAGTTGACTGTTTAATGAAATAACGAACTTTATCAAAAATTTTAGAGTTAGTTTCGTAATTATCTGCATCTTTTCCAAACAATAGCGTTTCAATATCAATGTGTATGTTCATATTTATAAGATCATTAATCAGAGATATTCTTTGGTTATGATATAATTGACATTCTAGAAAGTAATGGATGGTATCTTCAACAGGAGAACCACAGGAGCATTTAGAATCATTCACTACATTTATCTTATTTAAGTCTGCATTTAATGAACTGCACTGGTGCCTCAGTCTTGTATGCAGTATATTAAATTTTCTAGGCCCTTCACCATAATATGTTGGAGGTCTAAATAGTTCACCCTTTATTTTTCGTTTAAATTGTGGGATAGTTGGTGCGTTTCTTATTGTTGGATTTAAATTATTCCATATTCTGACAGTAGATGGTACGAATGACTTTTTATTTATTCGAAGTCTACATCTAGGGGGTATATAATTATCATTATTTCTTAGGTTGTATCCACTGATATCAGATGTAACTGGAGGTAGGCAGTCGATTAGATATTGGGGACAAAATTTATTATGCATTTGATAGAAAGTTGTTAATTTTCGTTGTCTACGCCTTTCTGCTAAAGTTTCCCAGCCCGTTTCAAAATATAAGGATTCTAAACTTGGAAATTTTGTAAGCCCTGTTACTATCCTTGCAGCTTCCAATTCTATTTTTTCTAGTTTATTAGATTCATATTCAAAACACCCATCCCATACTTCGCATCCATATTCCAATAGTGGTCTTATAAAAGTGACATAGATATTGGATAAGCTTTTATTGGAAAGTGTAAATTTTAGTTTCCTTAGTACATTTACTTGTTTTAATGCAGACTTTGTAATATTATCTATATGGCTGATCCAGTTTCCATCTGATGAAAGTGTGACACCTAAATGCTTGTGACATTTAACAGTTTCAACGTTTTCGCCATTAAATAAAATATTCATTACTGGTGGTTTAACATTTGCAATCATCAATGCTTTGGTTTTCTTTGGATTAAAATCTACCAACCATTGTTTTGCCCATTCATTTAAACTAAATAGGTCTTTATTAATATCACTTTCAATTGTTTGAAAGTTGCTACCAGAATATGAGAGAGAGGTGTCGTCTGCAAATAAACGGGTTAGGTTATGGAGATTATCTATAATGTCGTTAATATATAAAAGAAATAGTAGAGGACCCAATACAGATCCCTGCGGAACTCCTGCCTTGATTTCGCCATGATTTGAAGTTTCATTGTTTATAAAAAACAACTTGCTTTCTGTTGCTGATATAGTTCTTAAC